GAATCAAACAATAAATTGCCTACCATATTTAAAGAAAAAAAAAAAAGCTTTGTCAATTGTTTCACAGATTTCAAAACAAGAGTTCAAGGTCAAGATAGAAAACTGAGCCTTTATATAAATTATTAAATGTATTTTAAAGCAAACTCAAAATCCGTGCTTGACATATAAACAGGAATGTCTCTTCAAGTAATGTTAATCACACATAACATATTTTAATCATATATCAAGAAACTCTTCTAAAGATTCATTAGAAATGTCTGAGTCGGCTAACTGACTAAACAGCTTTATTACTGTCTAAAAAGAACTGTATCCAATCAAAAAAATTAGAAAAAAGACTAATTCTTAAAAAATATTTGTAAATAGTCGAAAAGTACTGCATTTCGATCTCTCTGAAATGCTTTGAGGTTTAAAAGTCACACATTTATTGTGTTTTTATGATCAATTATTGCATTTACTTCTGACTACTCAGAAGTAGCACTCAGACACATCAGTAGTGTGTTACTGTACTACACCTCTTATTAACATTATAGATATTGTCCTTCTCCTTCGGACAGCACTGTAAATGTTGTGATGCTTCCGTGAGGTCGTATAATCAGATGTAGAGATGAAGGCCAGACGGCCCATTACATGCAACCTGACCCTCGTGGTCTATTAATAGACACACACTAAAGTGTCCAGCAGATCTTGATCAAATTAGATGTAAGGAATGGTGATTACAGGGCAAAAAAGATTGCTTCTCCACCCTGTGTGTGTGCATGCATGTGCGTCTAAATCTGTGTGTATGTACATGTTTAGACATGGATAGTCTTACTGTTTAATGTGTTGTTGTGAAAATAACTTTTATGCCAATACTTGCACAATAATGAGGCCATGATATGAGAAAATAAATCAGTATCTCGTTCAGTTGCAAAATTAAAATACACTCACCCATATGTCATTCAAAACCTGTTGGCATTCCTAGCTTCTGCAGAACACATACAATATTTCATAAAATAATGTTCATTTACATCCCATACCTCAAAGATTGGTGTATTTACACGACTCCATCCTTAGATCAACAATGAATATGAATCATATTAAATCGCGATTAATCGCATCCAAAATAAAAGTTTGTGTTTACATAATATATGTGGGTGCACTGTGTATAATTATAATTATTTTATTTATATAAATACACACACACATGCTTGTATATATTTAAGAAATATTTTTATGTTTACTGTATATACTGTAGATTTATATATAATTTATATTATATAGAAATATAAATATTTTTTATATATAAATATTTTTTTTCTTAAATATATTTATATATATAAAATAATTATACACAGTGCACCCACATATAATATATAAACACAAACTTTTATTTTTGGATGCGATTAATCGTTTGACAGCCCTAATATTTATACTAACGTTTAAAAAGTTTGGAGCCGGTAAGATTTTTTAAAAGAAATGAATATGTATTATTAATTCGACTGATAATGCTACAAAAGATTGATGTCAAATAAATGCTGTTTTTTTTTTTTTACTTTATTCATCAAATAAATATCAGGGTTTCCGTGGGGTCTTAAAAAGTCTAAAAATGTCTAAAATTTCTAAAAGGCCTTAAAAAGTCTTAAATTTGCTGAAGTATTATGTTCTAGGTCTTAATTCATTTTAAACGGATCTTAATTTTCCTACGTCCATGTTAATCTCAGTGAAACTTTCATTGAAATGGTTGTAGTTCCCTATTTTGCTAGTTCAAATATAATTCACTGTATTGCGACTACAAAATAGACCAACATGCAACAGCCAATCAGTTTTGAGTTTCGTGTTATTGTGCTCTGGTTTCTCCACACAGTGACAAGATACCAGTCCTACATTGTTTCAAAATATGTTTCTGGACTCTGACATCACTCAATCCTTCATGTGCGGGAAAGATAAAAAGGCCTACATTACGCACTTTGGAATAGGGGATTTTATAAAAACAGAAACAGAACTAATTTCCAAAATCACGGGATCATTCGTGCTGTTTTTCGACGAATGTTCAGTTTAAATAAATTAAATTATAATGTTGAGACTCTGCGTTTCCTTTGTACGTTACATATATATATATATATATGTATATATATATATACAGTATGAAGAGTTCAGATGCAAAAGCCTCTGAATGCCATTTGAAATTTTCTTCTTTAATGATGATTTTTATCAAACTTGTATATTTAAGTTCAGTAATTTCACTTAAATAACAATTAATAGGTAATTATCATTGCCATTTAAGTGAAATTACTGAACTTAAATATACAAGCTTGATAAAAATGATCATTCTAGAAGAAAATTTCAAATGACACTTAGAGGCTTTTGCATCTGAACTCTTCATATATATATATATATATATACTGTATATATATATATATATACTGTATATATATATATATATATATATATATATATATATAGGTCTCAAATTTCATTCATAATGGTCTTAAAAAGGTCTTAAAAAGTCCTAAATTTGACTTTGTGAAACCTGCAGAAACCCTGAAATATGTATGACCATTTCCACAATTATATTAAGCAGCAAACATTGATAATAATCAGAAACGTTTCTTGAGCATAAAATCATCAGAATGATTACTGAAGGATCATTTGACTCTAAAGACTGGAGTAATGATGCTGAAAATTCAGCTTTGATCACAGGAATAAATTACATTTTAAATTATAATTTTTATTTATGATATTTCACAATATTACTGTTTTTATTGTATTTTCGATCAAATAAATGCAGCCTTGGTGAGCAGAAGAGACTTCTTTCTAAAACATTACAAAATCTTACCTATACTTTTGAACTCTCTGCCAGTGTATGGGGACAGTATGTCATGTTGGCTCTGTCATGTCCATTTAATTTAATCAATTAGCTGAGTGACTCATAAGGAAGAACAGGGTGCAAGCAATTGATCAGTCTCAGTGGGGCTGTTATGAGCAGAGAGAGAGAGGGAGGGAATGAGAAATGCTGGAGGGAAGAGAGAGGAGAAGGGCATTCGGACAATTATATTACAGTGGACAGCTAGAGAAAAGCACATTCATAAATGACGCCAGGCCACTTTAATTAAATTATTGTGCGCACACACACATTTGATTCAAAGCATCTTTAAGCTGTATTTTGCATGATTGTTGTATCATGTTAATGTGTGGTGTGATTTCGAGTTATTATGCGAGGGATAAGTAACTTATTTGCATAAAGGTTTGTAAATGCAAGGCAGATAGATAGCGCTCATAGACTTCCATTGATTTTTGAGTCTATCTGCTTCATCAGTTCTTACTCCGTGTGTGTGTGTGTTTCAGGACTCGTCATCTCTTTGCTCTCAGAGAGGAGGAGTAATGAAGCAGGGCTGGCTCCTGAAGGCCAACTTCAACAACAGTCTGTCTGTCTCGATGAAGGTTCGTGGAGTCATCGGCACACCTTCTCTAAAAGACATCAGTAGAGCTGTTGCAGTCGTTGTTGCTTAGTATACTGTACATCTGCTGATCAATACAGTTTGAGGAACTATAAGGCCTTGTTTTCTCAGAAACATCAATTACACGCACTGATGTTGATGCGCAAACACACTTCTGTGCATACAAAAGGATATTTATACAGTACTGTGCAAAATGCCAGTTATTTACAGTGGGGTCAAAAAGTATTTAGTCAGCCATTGATTGTGCAAGTTCTCCAACTTAGAATGATGAGAGAGGTCTGTAATTTTCATCATAGGTAGTTCAACTCAATTCTTTGTGACATAACCTTTGTTGGCAAAGGTTTCCTGTAAGTCTTCCCCAGGTTTGCACACACTGTAGCTGGTATTTTAGCCCATTCCTCCATGCAGATCTCCTCTAGAGCAGTGATTTTTTCGGGGCATCACTAAAATACATTTTCTATGGGGTTGAACTCTGAAAAAAAGTCACTGAGCAGCAAATCAGATGGATTTTCTGATGGATCATGTGACTGAAGACTGGATTAACGATGTTTTTTTTGATCAAATAAATGCAGCCTTGATCTCTAAAAATCTTACCAATTCCAAACGTTTTAATAGTGGTGTGAGAGTGAAGCCAGTTTAAATGCTACTTAGTTTATTTCCATTTATTTTCACTAGACTACCTCCATTTTTCACACATTTACATTTTTTTCCCCTCCACAGGTGTTCAAGAGGAGGTATTTCTACCTGTCTCAACTCCCTGATGGCTCATACATACTGAATTCATACAAAGATGAGAAAAACTACAAAGAATCAAAAGGCTCCATCTATCTGGACTCCTGTATAGATGTAGTGACGGTACATGCTACATTTTTAGCATTATAAATTGTAAAATGTAAATATATAGTTTGTATTTATTAGCAGACTTTCTTTTTAATCCAAAGTGACTTAGAAATGAGGCGTACAACAATTGATGAAATATTATTATTGTTAAAAAGTTTATTATAATTACTGAGACAATTGTAATTATTATCAAAACGCTTATTGCCTGTTAAGTTTCGTTTTAATTTGAACTTATTTTGTCCCAATTATCTTCAGAAGCAAATGTCTGAACTTGGTTTGAAACGTTTCTCAGGAAGTTTACCCACAGCATGTTAGCAGCCCTCAGGCTGGGGTGTAATATCAGTAGCACGACGGAGGAATCTTCCTTGCTGAATGCCCATTACTATTACTTACAACCGCAAATAGCTCTTAATGTGACACCATTAAATTCCTCCAGTGACTAACACAGCATTATTTCTAGCAGTGCTCCAAGATGCGGCGCCACAGTTTTGAGCTGAAGATGCAGGAGCGCAACAGTCACTATCTGGCGGCCGACAGCGAGGCCGAGATGGAGGAGTGGGTGAGCACACTGAAACAGGCCTTACAGAGCACGATGGAGGACAGGAGGAACGGGTCAGAACCTTCTGAAGGTTCTCTGGGTAAGTAACACATACACACACACACACACACTGTAATTCAGATATGGTAGTGGGCGTTTTGTTCCTGACATGCTCTGTAAGTAGTAGACCAATCACAACAGACTGAGCCATCTGACCAATCAGAGCAGAGTAGACCAATCACAACAGACTGAGCCATCTGACCAATCAGAGCAGAGTAGACCAATCACAACAGACTGAGCCATCTGACTAATCAGAGCAGAGTAGACCAATCACAACAGACTGGGCCATCTGACCAATCAGAGCAGAGTAGACCAATCACAACAGACTGAGCCATCTGACTAATCAGAGCAGAGTAGACCAATCACAACAGACTGGGCCATCTAACCAATCAGAGCAGAGTAGACCAATCACAACAGAGTGGACCATTTGACCAATCAGAGCAGGGTAGACCAATCACAACGGACTGAGCCATCTGACCAATCAGAACAGAGTTGACCAATCACAACAGACTGGGCCATCTGACCAATCAGAGCAGAGTTGACCAACCACAACAGACTGGGCAATCTGACCAATCAGAGCAGAGTTGACCAATCACAACAGACTGGGCCATCTGACCAATCAGAGCAGAGTTGACCAATCACAACAGACTGGGCCATCGAACCAATCAGAGCAGAGTAGACCAATCACAACAGACTGGGCCATCGAACCAATCAGAGCAGAGTTGACCAATCACAACAGACTGGGCCATCGAACCAATCAGAGCAGAGTAGACCAATCACAACAGACTGGGCCATCGAACCAATCAGAGCAGAGTAGACCAATCACAACAGACTGGGCCATCTGACCAATCAGAGCAGAGTAGACCAATCACAACAGACTGGGCCATCTGACCAATCAGAGCAGAGTTGACCAATCACAACAGACTGGGCCATCTGACCAATCAGAGCAGAGTTGACCAATCACAACAGACTGGGCCATCGAACCAATCAGAGCAGAGTTGACCAATCACAACAGACTGGGCCATCGAACCAATCAGAGCAGAGTAGACCAATCACAACAGACTGGGCCATCGAACCAATCAGAGCAGAGTAGACCAATCACAACAGACTGGGCCATCTGACCAATCAGAGCAGAGTAGACCAATCACAACAGACTGGGCCATCTGACCAATCAGAGCAGAGTTGACCAACCACAACAGACTGGGCCATCGAACCAATCAGAGCAGAGTAGACCAATCACAACAGACTGGGCCATCTAACCAATCAGAGCAGAGTAGACCAATCACAACAGACTGAGCCATCTGACCAATCAGAGCAGAGTAGGCTCTCAAAAAGGATGGGTTTAGAGAGACTAACCGTTCTCAGACTCATTGAGAATTGAGTGATGTGCCATGTATATTATGAGAATATTAAAGTCTTTTTGACCTTGAATGCATGTGAACTTATAGAAGGAGACATCCAAATCAAAATGAATAAACTTTAAAATAGCATCATAGGGGCACTTTAAAATGTTCCACCTTAAAAAAAAATAATAGTCAGGTTTTTATCCCTTTAAGCTTTTCTATCATGAGACCACCATCATGACCTTGATGATGTAATGCAACTTATTGCATCATTATCATCATCATCAAAGACATGATGTCATTCACAAAATATCAACAATAAACAGTCTTTAATTGGCTGTTCTCAGTGTTTTCACTTCATCTTGGAACACAAAGCACTTCCTTCATGAAGTTAATACTCAAACTATTCCAACATGACCAAATAACAAGCATTTGGGCAATGTAGGGAAATTCTGGCCTCTGCTACTTCCTGAAGAGCGGCATAGTTCCCATTCCTTTTGTTTTCATTTTGGGGCTTTTAAAAGCCTGTTGAACTCGATGTTTTCACTGTATTCAAAAATAAGAACCACTGAATATGTAATAATAATGACAATAATAGTGCTCTATTATAGGAGACACAATGTTCTCTACTCTGAGTTTTACATTTCTGTTGTGATGGCAAATTTGAGAAATGTTAGGGAGGCTCTGTTCACGTTGAGGAGTCGTGAAGGGCCTGTTCGATAAACAACTCCCTGTGCTTATGGTATAAACTTTGGCCAATGTTTTTAAGACCTTGCATGTGACGGTCATGAGGAAATGAAATTAACTTTCAATTACATGCATTCAGTTTGTAACTTCTTCATTTTATGGAGTGACTAATATGCAGAATTCAGATTTCTGGAATTGAAATGACACAGTTATTATATGAAAACTATAACTGTTAGCATTAGAATTAAACATAACTATAACAACACAACAAACAGCCTTCAGTATCAAATGCTGCTTTCCAGTTCATCTGGTTTCCGCTGCTCTAAGTTTAACAGACCGTATGATACACGTGTCCTGATTTGGGAAGCCATTACTTTTGTTTATTATCTGGCATGATAGATTTTAATTGCTGGATTTAGGCCAAAATCACCAGGGGAGAGGCAGATATTTTATGTCCTGTGTTAGATAATAGTTTATACAATAAATCTAATAGGATAACACATGAGATCAGGCTGTACCCTATTCTTGGAAAGTGCCAGTATATGTAAAAATGTTCCACCTCAGTGTGGAGATAAGTCTTGGAGCAGCGAACCTTCTCTGAATAAACGAGGGCATCTGAATCCCCAGAAAGCTCCATCTGGCTTCCCTGATTTGACATGTTTTACAGTGACACATGCACACATTACAATTACTGTTACTGCTTTCTCTTCCAATGGACTCAGAGCTTATAGAAACTTGTTTGACTTTCAAAAATATCAGACACCTTGATCAGCAAATACTGTGTGTGATTTGGACGTGTACGGTTTAAAAGTGTACCAGTCAGTCGGGATTAAAGGAGTAGTTCACTTTTAAAAAAAACTTTTGCTGATAATTTATTTACTCACCCCCATGTCATCCAAGATGTTCATGTCATTCTTTCTTCAGTCGAAAAGAAATTTAGGTTTTTGGTGAAAACATTCCAGGATTTTTCTCCATATAATGGACTTCAATGGGAACCAAACGGTTCAAGGTCCAAAAGACAGTTTCAGTGCGAACTGCAAACTGTTCAAAGGGCTTTAAATGAGAATAAGGGTCTTATCAAGCGAAACCATCGCTCATTTAAAAAATAAATAAGAAAGTTTAAGTTTTATAAGTTCAAATGGTAACCTTGCGCTGTTCTGTGACGCACGTTCGAAATGAACAAATGAACAAATCTTTTCCAGAGTCAACTTATTCATTTCATTCGTTGAATGAACCAAATGACACAGAAAAAAAATTTGTTCATTTTGATAAACGAGTTTGAACAGGAGAGTCACGAACGCGCATCACAGAACAGAGCAAGGCGAGCATTTGAACTTATAAAACTTAAACTTTTTTGTTAATTTTTTAAAATGAGCGATCGTTTCGCTTGATAAGACCCTTATTCATCGTCTGGAATCATTTAAAGCCCTTTGAACAGTTTGCAGTTTGCACTGAAAGTGTCTTTTGGACATTGGACCGTTTGGTTCCCATTGAAGTCCATTATATGGAGAAAATCCTGGAATGTTTTCATCAAAAACCTTAATTTCTTTTCGACTGAAGAAAGAATGACATGGACATCTTGGATGACATGGGGGTGAGTAAATTATCAGCAAAAGTTTTTTTTTAAAGTGAACTACTCCTTTGAAGAAGGATTTAATTGTTCTGCTTGGTGTCTAAAAAAAGCCCATGTGCGGTAGAATTAATCAGTTCATCATCAATCATCCCGACAGATGAGGACAGCATCAGCCTGGGGAAACCAGAAAATGTTGCGGAGAGCTTTGGCCGGAGTCTTCATCCAGAGCTAATGAAGGTACTTGACAAAATAATGGATTACAATCCCTACTGGAGTGGTTTGAAGTGAACACTTCGTTGTATTTTTCAAACGGCTGTAATCAAAAAAATCCAATAAAAAAAGTCAAGAAAGAGATATTGAAAATCGCATTTGATTTTGTTTCGTGTTTATTCATCATACTGTAAATGGAAGGTTAAGTTGAGTTTAATGCGCTGAGCAGAGCACAATGCTTAATATACTTTATAACACATTTGATGAATTTTGTTTTTATTTATTCATAAGCTTTTACAAATGTAAAGTGTTTCTGTCTGGTTCTCTCCAGTACGCCAGAGAAACCGAGCAGCTGAATAAAATGAGCAGGAATGAGGGCCGACAGAAGATCTTCACCCTGGATCCGGAGATGCAGGTTAGTCCAGTCTGCACAGTGAACGGCTATTAGAAAGACAGTCTGAAGTATTAATGAAAATCAATCGTCCTTTTTCTTTTCAGAGATTGGATTTCTCAGGCATCGAGCCTGACGTGAAGCCGTTCGAAGAGCGATTTGGACGAAGGATCATGGTTAGTTGTCATGACTTGACCTTTAGCCTGCAAGGATGCGTCAGTGAGAAGAACGATGGCGTCCCAACTAACGTGAGTAAACTCTCATTGTTACATTTCATCTTTCTTGATTGTCCTGTTTTGCGATTAGAATTAGTAGGAAATGCTACCATGAGATTGTTTATCATACCTGTATCATTTTCAAAGCCAAAACATTATAACCTTATCCTCATATGACCCTACTTATTTGTTTTTGTTTTATTAATCCATATTTGGAGTCCTGATATATCTTAAAGAGGGCAACTTCCTTTACATAGATTTTTTTTTAATATAATCTGACATACTATGTTACAGATTTACATGCATACATGAACACATACGTATATGTATACAGTGATGTGAGATCTGGCCGCTCTCACGCTTTCTCGTATGATCTCATTATCGCTCATGATCTGTGCCTTGCAGTCGCGAGTGATCTTTGAAATAAAAACAGGTCTTGTCTACTTGTGTTTGTGTGTCATATGAATAATATATGCCCCAAACATGGAATCAGAGTGCCTGATGTATGTAGTAAATGGGAAATCTCTACAGAAGGCCACTACTACATGCATATGGTTTGTTCTACCATTTATTAGTAATGATTTACACAGTTTGTTTACTACTTACTATATACCTGAGCCTTCAGTATTGTGCAATATAATAAAGAAGTGCTGTATTTTATCATTTAAACGTGACTTTTCATGAAAATTGTATAATCCAAGCCACCATATGACGTCATAATATGCAAATTAGATGGAAAAATGTAATCCCTACATAAACTTTGGGTCATCCTTAATATTTCTCTAATTTACAGAAAGTATCTATCTTTTTTCACTTTTAAGATATAGCCTTTTGAAATTAAGATGTCAAAATTTGAACGGAAAAAAACCTCTGGTGCCTAAAGGGTTAATGCCTTAATTATAAAAATGAAGAAAAATCCAAACTTTTCTTTGTGTATGAATAATGTATCATAAAGAAATAAATGTTCTTCCTTAAAATACATGGTGCACAAGTCAGGACACCGCTATGTTGAATTCCCATTTATTTTTAAAGGCCAGTTATGTCATGGATCCAGGATAATGTGCATCCTGATGAAGTTCCCTTGGCCTTTGGAATTAAAGGGTTAGTTCACCCAAAAATTGAAAATTAAGTCATAAATTACTCACCCCCATGCTGTACCAACCCCGTAAGACCTTTGTTCATCTTCGGAACACAAATAAAGATATTTTTGATTGAATCTGAGAGCTGGATCACTCTTCCATAGGCTTCCTAAGGGACTGGCTCTTGACGGCCCATAAAGTCATTAAAGAAAAGGTTTAAATTTTCCATGTGCCTACAGCGGCTCAATTATAAGTTTATCAACTACTTTTTGTGGGAAAAAAAAACATAAATAACGGCTTTATTCCACTATTCCATTACTTCCTTATGGGCGCATGCGCGAGAACTGAGACGAGGACGTTCTCATTCGACCACTTCTTGTTACCGGCTGCTCACTGCTTAGGAGTTTTACCGCCACCTACCGTATAAAATGTTGATAAGGCACACTGTCGTGTTTTGAGAATATTAAAGGCTTTAAAGTGCACTTTAAAGTGCACCTTATAGTGCGGAAAATACGCAAATTGAAAAGCGTGTGTACAGCGCGCATCTTCCTCTGCTTGTAAACAGAAAGTTTTGCGCTTCCAGCTATATCAGCACATCATCTTATACGGTAGGTGGCGGTAAAACTCCTAAGCGGAGCAGCCGGTAACAAGTCGAAGGAGAACGTCCTCGTCTCAGTTCTCGCGCATGCGCCCATAAGGAAGTAATGGAATAGTGGAATAAAGTCGTTATTTATGTTTTTTTCGCACAAAAAGTATTCTCGTCGCTTGATAAACTTATAATTGAGCCGCTGTAGGCACATGGAATATTTAAACCTTTTCTTTAATGACTTTATGGGCCGTCAAGAGCCAGTCCCTTAGGCAGTCTATCTAGGACTGATCCAGCTCTCAGATTCAATCAAAAATATCTTTATTTGTGTTCCGAAGATGAACGAAGGTCTTACGGGGTTGGAACAGCATGGGGGTGAGTAATTAATGACTTAATTTTCATTTTTGGGTGAACTAACCCTTTAAAATATCCCCACATCAGCACACACCCTTCACCAGTGTTGGTTTTAACTAATTACTAAGTAATTAGTTACTGTAATTTAATTACTTTTCCCTTGAAAATGTAAAGTTAGGGATTACTCTTCATTTATCTGTAATTTAATTACAGTTACGTCTGATGTAATTGAGGTAAATACTGTGTATAGATCAATCCGATCTCACAGCGATTCGTATGCATTTTATGAGGTGTCTAAATATTACGACCGCACTCGTACAAATTCATATGAATTATTGTAAAATATGTATGAAAAAAGTGTGAAATGTCATGAGATCAGACATAAAACAATAGTGGGTTTAATATCAAAATGTGTTGTCTGATGCTAAAAAGTATGTTTTTATAATGTAACCTTCTCCTCCTTGGTCAGTTTAAGGACAATTCATGCAATTTTATAATATTTACTTGAAAGAATTAAAACAGATTCATGTCTATCCTTGTATTATTCAGCTGGTTGAGATTGCTATAGGATTTTCAAAGTAATTAAAAGTAATTAAATACTTTTTAGAGAGAGTAATCTAATTACACTGTTGAAGAGGTAATTAATTCCTTTTTTAGAGTAACTTACCCAACACTGCCCTTCACCATACCTAGAGATCGGCATGGGGTACTTTCCATAAGATCATCTCTCAATGCAAATTAAACCAGCTATTAGGCTAACTGAAATAAAACCATGCCAATCTCTAGGTTCACGTTTAAATAGGTCACTTTGATTATGAAAGATGAGTTTTAAGGGCTCAAATTATTGACTAAAGGGGGAATTTAAGCTAAAAAAACCTGAATTCTCTTTATTGGGCTCCAGGTTAAATACATTTGTTGACTATTGTGTAACTGTCATTGTCAGAGAACGGCAGTTAGAGGTCAGTATCGCTGAATATCAGGCAGTTCTTGAATGAGAGATGATTATAGATTCTTGGCATGAGGACATGAGGACTCATCCAGAACCAGTGATGAATATGGTCACGCTCAGAGAAGCATTTTCAATGGCTCCAGGGAAGGAATGTGGCGTTCGTCAGCTTGGTTTGGAAAACCACTGCTCCCTCAGAATACAAGGATCTAGACAGATATGACTGATGGGAATGGATTGAAAATACATGCAAAGATGTGCTAGTTCACAAATATGAAAAGCACAGTAGTTTGCTTGCTTGCATCAAATTTGTGGTCATTATATTATATCATTTATTGATTCTCAGCATATAATACTGCTCAGACAATACAAATTGCTCTTTATCAAATGCTGTGTGTGAATCAAGGTTACCATTGTAAGTCAAATATGTCAAAGAAAGTAAAAGAAGGTGTTCTGACGTTCTCAACTATTGGGTTTCTCCGTCCTCAGGTCGAGCCGTTCTTCATCAGCCTAGCCTTGTTTGATCTGTCCAAAGGCTGTAAGATCTCTGCAGACTTCCATGTTGACCTCAACCCAGCCTGCGTGAGGGACATGATTCAAGACGGCTCTCCTGGAACACCAGAAGCAGGAGGAGGAGACGCAAATGAAACGGTCAGGGTTAACGGACACGGCCTACCGGTTATCCAGAGGGTCGCAGAGTCTCTCTTACGCTTCCCCACTCAGGTAAACACACTCATGACACTGATAATTGTATAATTGGGATGGCTTTCTAGAGATGTTTAATTAAAAGTCACTTTTGATAATCCTTTGCTAAATGATATTATTATCTATATTATGATATTATTACTATATTGATATTATAAAATATCTATTATTATGTTATATATGTTTTTAAAAAAGAACTTAAAACGTATCTTTTTAGAAAAGCATATTTTTAAGTATTTTTAAGTATTTCTAGATTACTAAATTAGTAATTTGATTAGTAAATTAGATTACTGTACTAAATGAAAATGCTGTTGTGATAAAATTATCTTATTTAAAGACTTTTTAAAATCTATTTATCTATTATTATGTTATATATGTTTTTTTTTTAAAAACTGAAAAAGTATCTTTTTAGAAAAGCGTATTTTTAAGTATTTCTAAGTGTCTGTGTATTTATTTGTTTTTATTTTATTTATTTTTTGATTTTTGTAAGCACTTTGAGATTTGCTGTCAAATGTAAAGTGCATTATAAATAAAATTCATCATCATCACTATATTTAGTGCTGTCAGAAGTAACGTGTTAACGCATGCGATGCATTTTTTTAAGATTAACATGGATAAAATATTACTGCTTGTGTCTGAATCTGTGAATTAATGTTCAAATTGATAGCTTTCAATTATATGGTAATGCTGAATGGATGAATTGAGAAAAAAATGAATTTCATAGAGATATCAGTTGGAGTATCGATATCTGTGATATCTTTCATAAAAAGATGCCATTAAACAAACATTTAATATATAGGCTACTGCTTTTATGTTGTTTCTACATTAATTTGGAGATTAAATGTGAAATTATTACAGTGTTAAAATAAAGGTGCGATTAATCGTGATTAGTTACAGAAAACCGTGTGATTTAAAAGGATAGTTCACTTTGAAATTAATTTTTGAGATGTTTTAGCTTACCTCGAGGCCATCCAAGATGTAGGTGTCTTTGTTTCAACAGTATTTTCAATTTTGATATTTTTATATAACCGTTTGTGTCTGTCAGTCATATAATGGAGGTCTATGGTCACCACCTCAAAGAGCATGCACAGAGAAGTCCAAATTAAACATGATTTAATGACTCGTAAATGTAAGTACACATTGATGGCCTAAGACACGAAACGAGCGGTTTGTGTGAGAAAACGAACAGTATTTATATCGTTTTTACCTCTTGTAGTTGTAACCAAGTGATCTGAGGGCGCGGGCGCATTGTGGTTGTGGTAAAAAGAGGTAAAAACGATAAAAATACTGCTCGTTTCGTGTGTTAGGCCATCAATGTGTACTTACATTTACGAGTCATTAAATCATGTTTAATTTGGACTTCTCTGTGCATGCTCTTTGAGGTGGTGACCATAGACCTCCATTATATGACTGACAGACAAGAACGGTTTGACCTAAAAATATCTCAATTGAAAATACTGCGGAAACAAAGACACCTACATCTTGGATGACCTTGAGGTAAGCTAAAAAATACCAAGCATTAATTTTCAAAGTAAACTATCCCTTTAATGATTATATTATATTATGTTATATTATGTTATATTATATTATTGTCTTTAGTGTATTGCTACGTAGTATCACTTTCGGCTCTCTGTGATATTCCTGTCACTAGATATGGCTCCTCTCCTCAAAGGAAGTATATGGATTTTTTTGTGTGCCTGTTTTATGGTCCACTAGACAAAAAAGCCTTAGCAAGCATCCCTTAAAACCAAGACAGAGCTTTTTGTTCATTAGATCGAGACAGATTTACCCCGGTCACCTTTTAAAATCTGCGCTCTGCTGAATCTTTCTGTAAATGACTGGCAACCCTTCCCAGTAAGCATTGTCCAGCGCTGCTGAATAAGAAGGATGCTTCTGCTGTGCTTCTGATAGGGGAAGTCAATGTGGTTTCAGATTTTTGCACATCCATGCAGTTTGCAGGGCTGCAGGTGGCTGATTATAGTCCATGTTTGGCTGACTTGCGTCATTTTGCCTCGTCATTGTATTTCTGCCTTCTGTTGAAAGCCTGTGTGCATTTTGCAATAACTGCCACACATGTGCACACGAACATTCATACCACATTGGCACTAAGTTTCAGATACAACTTTTTGGCTTTATTATTTACACCTGTCACTTTTTACCTCGGGTATTGACGTTTTTTTTTTTAGCTATGAATCATGAATCATTGAACTTCACTAATCCTCTCAAGGCCTTCTTATCTGAGCGTGCTCACAAGCGTGTGTTTGAGCCTGCTATGCTGTGCGTGGCGTGTGGCCAGGGCAGAAACAGCTTTAAGTTTTAACACAGCACTGTTTCATAGCACTAATGCTGCACACTAAATCAAAGCCAGTGCCATGACTGTCTCAAGCCTCTGCTGGCAGGCTGGGGAATGTGACGTGGCTTTACTGGAACTGACATTACGCAGGTCCCCGCTGAAACACTGGGCAGGGCAGCTGAGATGAAGAAGAGATAGCTGAATGTGTTGTTAGAGGAAGAAGAGAGAGAGAAATATACACACATTTGGCAAAAACAGAAACTAAAGAGTATAAGCAGTGTCTTGCAGTTTAGATTCTTATGAATTTAATTTTTTTTGATGACTTGAACAGGAATTTCAAGCAATTTGCAGAGGACAGGAATACATGGGGTACATATATGGCAAAAATAATGATTGCACTGGGTTTTTGGGGTTTTTAAGCTTGAGAGATAGTTAAAAATACATGGACTAAAAAGGACTAAATATTTAATTGTTTTCATTTAAAAATGAGGATAAAACAGTTACACATTAGCAAACCGGCTATCTAAACCACTATACTTGAGTTAAGATACACTACAGTATGTACCTTTTGGCTCTCTAGTGGTTAAAAAACAAAACTGCATGCAATTTGTGGAAGAACATTGTAATGATTGGGCTTCAGCTCTGTGGTGGGACTGTATGGATGAATATTTTACAATGAACTCATTGAAAATCAACAAAATACCTTTCTCTTCTGTTGAGTAATAAAAACCCCATCGCCGCATCGCTTTTACAGCATTTCAATCCCTCAGTTCTCGCCATCTCTGAAAAGCCAAGCAAATCTGGTTTTATTATGAACTCTGTCACGTTTCTTTGGTTGTTAGCGGACTCTCCTCTGTTCAGAGGTTTTATTTTTTAAATGAATGTTTGAGATTTAGCTGATTTATGTCAGTCTTTCTCACTCGTTGTGACAACTAACCTCACCATACCCGCGTCAAAGTAGCCAGAGAGACACTTTTCTCTATTTACGGATATGACGAGATAGACAGTACGCAATTTCCTGTAAAAACCTAAAATATAAACACTTCTAATAGGCTTACCATTTACATTTATTCATTTAGCTGACGCTTTTATCCAAAGCGACTTACAATTGCTATATATGTCAGAGGTCGCACGGGTTAAGTGTCTTGCTCAGGGTGGATTCGAACCCGGGTGAATATATAGTGAAGTGAATCAGACAAAAACATGTTTTAGACGAAAGATTGATAAAGTATTGTCTCATTATTTTAATGTAATTTTGTTATTTTTGAGGGCGAAAACGTAATTACAATGAACTTCCATAATCAACAAACCACTTACCTGTCAATATATTTAAATTTCCTCTTTACTTATACGTAACAATATGCGTATTTTGTCTTTTCCAGGGTATTTTCTCGGTCACCAACCCTCACACAGACATCTTCCTGCTGGCACGGGTGGAAAAGGTTTTACAGAATGGCATTACCCATTGCGCTGAGCCCTACATTAAGACCTCCGACATCAGCAAGGTCTGACAAACATTCTTCAAGAGAACTGTAAAATCTTCTTAAGCATGATGTCTACTTTCTACTTGAACAGAGCGTTGCATAACAGACAACAAGCTCTCTAGGATGCACTTTCTAATATCAGTCTGATGGGGAATACAAGAATAGTGTATAAAGATATTATAAGATGTGTTGTATTTATACAGTTGTTGGTGGTTAAAGGGATAGTTCGGCCAAAAATGATATTTAACCCATGCATTACTCACCCTCAAGCCGTTCGAGATGCATACGTCAATCATGTTTCAGACGAACACATTTTCAGTTTTTTTTTTTTTATATTTCAGTTATTTTTTCATATTTGTGTGAACATTCACAAAAGTAATATGGTATCGAAGTCGGCGTACGAGGTAGGACGTTAGCGTAGGAAACGTCGCGACGTCACAATGGTTCCTGCGCTACGTACGCCGACTTCCATCATCCGTGAACGTACCGTGAACGTACGTCGATCGTTGCCGGAAGTCAGATATTTTCATTTATAAAGTTTTAAATATGTATATTTTTATGAAAATACCACACGGATTCCCCTCAGAAGGCCTTCGTTTATCCCACTGGAGCCGGATGGATTTCTTTTGTGAATGTTGTATGCACATTTTTGGGACTTGAAGGAGCTGGACCCCATTTCTTCACATTATATCCACTAAAGACATTTTCTAAAATAACTGAAAATGTGTTCGTCTGAAACAAGATTGACAAATGCATCTCGAACGGCTTGAGGGTGAGTAACGCATGTGTTAAATATAATTTTTGGCCGAACTATCCCTTTAAGTAATGTTTTGTGGTAAAGTGTGGCTTCTCATTCCATTAACTTCCAGTATTTCCAAAGGTTTTGGCCTGAATTGTGTTTTTTTTTTAATTCAGATTGAAATGCTTCCAGAATGTACTGAATGTATTTCCATATATTTTTATGTGTCTGTTTCTCAGGCTGTACAGAAAGTCCTGAAGACTGCCAAGCAGACGTGCCAACGGCTGGGCCAGTACCGGATGCCCTTCGCTTGGGCTGCCAAGTAAGACAGAAACTCACTTCTTATTCATTTAAAGGGATAGTTCACACAAATATGAAAATTGTGTTAGTAATTACTAGGGGTGTAACGGTACACAAAAATCACGGTTCGGTACGTAACTCGGTTTTAAAGTCACGGTTCGGTACGTTTTCGATACAGCAAAAAGAAAGAAATGCCAGAGAAATTTCCTATTTGTTTAAAGAAAAAATATTTTTAAATAAGTGTGAGTTTTCCTAGATCTTGAAACTTTCAGGTTTATAAATGGGGGTCATCTTTGAAGGATGAACAAATAATGTTTTGGTCATCACAGTAAAAATAACATTTAAATATATATTTATTTATATAATATTTGAATTTTGAAGTGCTGGAAAAAGATGTGTGAAGTACTTGAAAGCATTTCACCATTCCAGCCAAACTGGTTCCAGTTACTATATTAAATCCATGGTGAATGTTTCTGGTCTGTGTATGAAAGTATTACTAGTTCATTCACGGCACAATGTTTCTCCTGGTTTCCATGACAGCGCTGTTTGATCTAATAGAGATCTACGGTTAATAATGGAGAAATGGGAATGCTTCTCACTAGATCTCGCAGCGATGTTATTACCTCAGTGGCGAATTCAAATGTTTTCTTTACCGGATCTCTTAGCGCTGTGTAGTAACAGTGTTGCTTGATCGAGATCGGCTCGCGCTGCACAGATGTTGCTGGTCCGAACTGATAAACGATCCGTGAAGCACATAACGAGGAGCGCAGTTTCGTTCTGCTTTCATTACCCTTGCCATTTGGATGTTGCGCAACGTTGTGTTGGCCGCGTCAGCACGAATTTTGCCGGCAGGAAAAATGGTCCAAGCAATCGTTCGGTTTGTATGCGTACCGAACCGGAAGCCTCGAACCGAAACGGTTCAATACGAATACATGTACCGTTACACCCCTAGTAATTACTAGGGATGGGCAACGATTAATCGCGATTAATCGCATCCAAAATAAAAGTTTGTGTTTACATAATATATGTGTGTGTAGAGTGTATAATTAATTTATATATATAAATACACAAACATGCATGTATATATTTAAGAAATATTTGCATGTATATACTTTATATATATTTATACATAATTAATATTATATAAAAATATAAATATTTGATATATTAATAACACATTTTTCTTACATATACACATGCATGTGTGGGTATTTATATATACAAAATAATTATACACACTACACACACATACAGTATATTATGTAAACACAAACTTTTATTTTGGATGCGATTAATCGTTGCCCATCCCTATTAAGTACTCACCCTCATGTTGTTCCAAACTTGTTAGATCTTCAGAAAACAGATGAACATATTTTTGATGAAATTGACAGCTACACAACTACCACTTTGACGCTTCAACAAGTTCATAAAGAGCTCGTAAAACTAATCCATATGAATTGAGCGGGTTACTCCAACTTTTCTAAAAAGACTCGATCACTTTATATGATAAACAGATTTAATTTAGGCTTTTATTTGCATTTTAATCCGCAAACATAAACAGAAGCTCAACCGAACGTGCTTGACATGCAAACAAATTTTGTTGGTTCTTCCTGAAGCTCAAACTTGCTGCGTAACACAAGAATGAACATTATTGGTTCTTGTATGTCAAGCGAACATGTTTGCGCTTCCGTTTACCACAACTGATGTGTGATTTGATGAATGTTTTAATGTCAATGAAAGCCTAAATTAAATCTGTTCAGTCTATAAAGTGATTGAAATTTGGACTAAACTGCTCAATTCATATGGATTAGTTTTACAATCTCTTTATGAACTTGTTAAAGCGCCGAAGTGGTAGTTTCGTGGTGGTCTATAGAGGGACAGAAAGCTCTAAGATTTCATTAAAATGTGTGTTTCGGAGATGTATGAAAATCTTACGGGTTTGGAACGAGTAATTATTGACAGAATTTGTATTTTTGGTGAACTATCACTTTAATGGACTAGTAATACGGAGTCATATTATCTGTGATGTACATTAAGAAGAATTATGTGTCTTTCGAACTGGAATGTCACAGTTGGTACACTCCGGACAGGCACCTTGTAAATATCTAGACAATGTTTAAGTGTTTTGAAGTCAAATTTGGTGCCAAGGACATCAGGATATCTGTGTTGTGTGGCTTCAGACAGGTGTTCAAAGATTCCCAAGGCAGTTTAGACACGGATGGGAAGTTCTCTCCACTCTACCGCCAAGACAGTAGCAAGATTTCCACAGAAGACCTCATCAAACTATTGACTGATCTCAAAAAGTGAGTGAAAACACACGTGTTCTAGATGTGTACGCTATCTTTTGATGTCGGGTATCCCTAAATGGTCACTGTGATTTTGACAAGTAGGAAATGATCCTGGATCAACATGTCTATCGAACAATCATAGTACTAATTTTATCCCTAACCTAAGCCCTAAAGATGAACTAATCATTAATCAAAGGGAAGGGATAAGTACGGTGGCCCAGTAGTGCACGACACAACGAAATTTGAAAAGCAAACATAAGTTCACAACACAATGAAATTAATCCACAACACAACGGAAAATGTACAACACAACGAAATAAAGCCGCAAAATAACGGAAATGCTCCTGACCACTAGAGGGCTCCCGGAGCGCGGTAAAGTTAGTTTTCCTTGACATTCTTCTATAGACGAATCCGGCGAAACTACTGGAAGTAAGCGGGCGCCATTACTGAGCTGTTGCTGGGTAGCGTTGCGCCATTGCCTCCTATTGTTTTAGTTGCAACTTGCGTCCACTGGAATAAACAGCCCGCGATTTACGACTGTCACTAACGTTACAACGTTATCCCTTGTATAATGTCGAGTGGGTAAACAGTTTCCGTTATAAATTGTTTCAATGGTGGCAGTAAAATTTCAATTTTGAAGAGAAATCACTGTGAATACCCCGGGTCGACTGCCCCTGTCTGGTGCCGTACGGTTTACAGATTTCCTGGGCGAGTACATGACGTGGACATTCGCGTATAATAACAATTATTTAATGACATAAGTAAAAAAAAAATATAATAAATATGTGATATAGTGATCAGCAAAATCTCTCTTGCTATTTTTTCTATTCAATTAACATGCTATGGTCATTAAATGGCTTTCCTGAGCTAAATGTAACGTTATGTGACATAATTGTTCTCCCGCTGTTATATTGACCTCTTTCCATGGTTTAAAAACACTAATTGGTCGATATTATGTATACTTTCTAGCTGTAACGTTACCTTACCCTTGCCTGTTGCAATGTGAAAATGAGATAAATAATGGACACAAATGAAAAACATGAATTTGTTTATTTGATTTCATTCATTTATTTATTTATTGTTGCCAAATTGACAGATCTTTTTATAGTTTTACTCGTTAGCAAACGTTAGCCTAGCTAGCTTGTTAAGCTATTTTCATAAATAACGTTAATCTGTAAGATCGTTTGTACCTTCATCTGTGACTGGAGGCCACTGCAGTCACAGATCAAACCAACAAGTCATTCTGCCTGGCTGTAGCTGTCATCGAGGGTGAGTTCGCGTTATCACCGAGGTTTGTTTACATACCGGTGCATGTCTATATGCCTGTGTAACAGCTCAGTAATGGCGTCGCCACAAGATGGCAGCCTACACAGAACGCTCGTCGGATTCGTCTATAGACAGGGTTTCCGCGGGGTCTTAAAAAGTCTAAAAATGTCTTAAATTTCAAAAACACAATTTAAGGCCTTAAAAAGTCTTAAATTTGCTGAAGTGTTATGTTCTAGGTCTTAATTCATTTTAAACGGGTCATAATGTAAATCTGAAATGGTTGTAGTTCCCTATTTTGCTAGTTCAAATATAATTCACTGTATTGCGACTACAAAATAGACCAACATGCAACAGCCAATCAGTTTTGAGTTTCGTGTTATTGTGCTCTGGTTTCTCCACACAGTGACAAGATACCAGTCCTACATTGTTTCAAACTATGTTTCTGGACTCTGACATCACTCAATCCTTCACGTGCGGGAAAGATAAAACGGCCTACATTACGCACTTTGGAATAGGGGATTTTATAAAAACAGAAACAGAACTAATTTCTAAAATCACGGGATCATTCGTGCCGTTTTTCGAATCGATTCAGATTCGTCCACGTTCGCATCGCGATGCATCTAAGAATCGATTCTTTTCCCCACCCCTACTTAATATATCAATATACCATAATTAGTTTTAACAGTGTCTAGCAAACCATTGTATATCGACATTCATTACTTCAAAATCAAAATGTGAACGCTAAGTGAACCAGAACTAAATGTATCTTTTTTTTTTTTTGGGGCCCAAACCAAAAGAACCAAGAGAACAAAACTACAAGTATGAATGAACATCCTAAAATTAGTCCAAACCACAACCCTTTCTCTCTCCCTACAATCTGATTAGTTGATGGGAATGACGTGTTCCACTTGGCATAAACACGCTCATCCACCATGCATGTATATCCGTGTTAGTCGCATTATTGCATTAAGCGTTACGAGTTCAGTGTTTTGAAGAGACATTTTTCTTTTATAGACCAGAGAAGAACAAACTTCAGATAATCCCTGGACAAATTAACATCAGTGTTGAGTGTGTTCCTCCAGACTTGTCAAGTAAGTTTGTTTGTCTGTTATGTTAATGACTTTAGCATTTAACACTTGCTAACATCTCTTTTGAATCTAAAGGTCGTTCAGTTATTACCTTCTCAGTTGTACATTATCTACATGCACATTTTCAGCTTTTAATACTGTAATCTGAATTTGTACCCTATTTGTGAAAAGTGGTTTGATGATTGTGGCGTTTACTACTGTATATAACCTTCATCTTCATAGACTCGGTCACATCATCTTATATCCCCGTGAAGCCGTTCGAGGAACAGTGTGAGAGGGTTTTTGTGGAAGTGGAGGAGTTTGGTCCAGAAGAGGCTAGATACAACCACCCATTCACCATCTACAAGAACCACCTCTACGTCTATCCTCAGCAGCTCAAATACGACAATCAGAAGACATTTGCCAAGGTGAGACTCTGTAATTGGTAGAACTGGGAAGCCGTGGGTGGTGGTACAACAACAAGCTCTTTTCGAGCAGTAACAATGTCTGCCTACGTGTTTTCAAACATGAGGCTTTGTGAAAAGCCCTCAGGATTCTATTCATAATCAATTCACGGAAAATCGTATTTCTAATTAAACAGACTTCAGGGTTAATTGCTTCCTCCTGCGCTGCTGGAAAGCTTACGTTTCTGGCTGTTTGCCCTATTACTCCACAACTACTTTTCTTCTAAATTAGAGATGCTACCAAACATGGAAACAGATCTATTCCTCATGTATATATTCCTTTTTATATTATATTCCTCATCTGTTTATTGCCTTTTATTCATTTGCAATATATAAATGATCTTCTCAATTCTACTAGCTAGCTTAGCATCTAATTACACCTTTGACATTATGCCATATTTATAAACTAAAATAGCCATGTCTGTTGCATATGAAATAATATTTGCAAATGCATTGTGCTTATTCAAACTGAGGGGGAAAATAATTCCTTATCTTTGATAATTAAGTTGCATTGCAAAGATTATTTAGTTGCAGAGTATGTTGATTTCATATCAAAAATAAATATATATATATATAAAAATATATTATTTTAATATATATATATATATATATACACACACACACACTAGGGGTGTAACTATATTCGAACCGAACCAAATACAGAACTCACGATTCGAATCGCCATACTCTCATTGCGTGCCGAACGCGTGTCCACAACTTTGGTTCCTATAAATGAACTCTTGCACTAAATAAATGCACCGTGTTAGCCTATATATTATATTTTACTTAACCTGATAATGATATCTTGGTTATTTAGGGTATGTTTAAAATATCTTTCATGAAAATGACAACTGTGTAAATTATTATATTTCAATAACAACTTAGAGTAAAAACACAAGTTAATGCAAAAACTGCCTTATGTTCAGTTTAAATGTTTTCATTCAATGTGTTGTGTGTTGATTATTATTTCTTAAAAATAAATAGCATCTGAATTTAGGTTAAAAGTCTAGGCTACAACCTTTAGTGTTATAGTAATGTGCGGCTCCCTGTATAGTTTACAGCATTAGCAGATTTTTTTAATCCTTGTGAAACGTTTAATTGTAATTGAATTAATTTAAAGACGAAGGCAATTTTTTCATTAAACCACTGTTTAAAAACCCCCCAAAAAAGCGAAACGAGACGTCAAAACCATGGGAAAACTGAACCGTCAGTTTTGTGTATCGTTACACCCCTAATATATACATGATACATTTTCTGTCCATGCAGTCTAATGCAGCGTGTGTGTGTGTTTCCTCTCAGGCTCGGAACATTGCAGTGTGTGTTCAGTTCAAGGATTCTGACGAGGAGGGGGTCGGTCCGTTGAAGGTGACTGAATGATTATTCTTCTTAGTTCAAAGTTTGTTTTTATTGATTTTTACAATACAATACATTCTCTGCCCCTCACCCCTCACCATCCAATATGGAGAATGACGCCCATATTATCCATTGATACAAAGTAGACTTGCAAGAACAGAACATACATACAGTACTTACAAGCATAAACCTTTAACCAAATACCTAAAAAAAAAAAAAATAAATAAATAAATAAATAAATAAATAAATAAATAAATAAAATAATAATAAAATAAATAAATAAAGGAAAACAATAGTAGTGGCTTTATTCAAATAGACTTATCAACATAGTCAAGAAAAGAACACCACATCTTAAAAAATTGTTTTTCCGATCCTCTTAGTGAATACCTAATTTTTTCGAGGCAGAGACAAGACATTATATCTCTAATCCATTGAGTATGAGTGGGTGGCAAGGGATCTTTCCACTTTAATAAAATAGCTCTACGTGCAAGAAGAGAGGAGAAAGCAAGGACTTTACACATTGATGATGGCAACCCTACGTCCTCTGGGGCTACTCCAAATAATGCCACCATAGGTTCTGGTTCCAATCTATGCTGAAGAACCACTGAGAAGGTGTGAAATATTGAACGCCAGTAACACTCTAATTTAGGGCATGTCCAGAACATGTGAATTAACGTTCCCTCAGCACATTGACATCTATTGCACATAGGGCTAGTACCAGGAAACATTTGAGCTAGTTTAACTTTGGATATATGAGCTCTGTGTACAACTTTAAACTGTATGAGTGAATGCCGAGCACACATCGACGATGAGTGGACCTGTTTAAGAACACAGTTCCAAGTGTCATCGGAGAGTGGTCTGTCAAGGTCTTCCTCCCAAGCTCTCTTAATATTATTATCCAGGGATGTAGATGCCAGATTAATCATTAAATTGTAAAGAGTAGCAATTGAGCCCTTGGCCAAAGTGTTACATGAAAGGAACCTATCCAGAGGATTTTCGGAGGGTATCGCTGGGAAATCTGGTATAAGTGACTTAACGTAATGCCTTACTTGCAAGACTCTAAAGAAATCTGACCTGGTAAGACCAAAACGTGATACCAATTGCTCAAAAGAGGCAAATACATTATCCAAAAATAAGTCTTTAAAACATTTTATCCCCTTTTGAGAGAAACTCTTAAATGAACCATCCTGCAAAGAAGGAATGATTATTCTTCTTATTGTTCCACCAGTTCTTTAATATTTAATAATTAGTGCGGTATAATGTGTTATTGATTAACCACTGATTGCTTTTAGTGTATCTACGGCAAGCCTGGGGATCCGCTGTTCACCACCAGTGCTTTTGCTGCAGTTTTGCATCACAATCAGTGTCCGGAGTTTTATGATGAGGTAATATATCCATGTATCAGCAACACAATCTCTCACAGTCACCGTAAAGAAATAGGAATCTATTTAGCAGAATACATCACGTCATGTTGAACGTCGTAATTAACACAAAGTTTTTGAGTTGTAAAAATATTCACATCATTATTATTAATTAAATAAGACATCTATAATCTGAGAACACTAATAGCTCATAAAAAGTGAATCCAGACTTTTTTATTGAGACCAAAAACTATTACATAATTCAGTACGCAGTCAATGCCAATGATGTTGAGCCATAAACGGCACAAAGCATGACCTTTCCCCGGACAACATCTGAATCATTCCAGAGACTCATCCCGTTAGGCTTCACTGGACCCTCAGGGCCAAGATGTTAAAGACATATTATTCGCTCAGTAGATAAATGAGTCACAAGACATCGACACATTCAGCAGGCACAGACGTACTGTAGCCAATAAAGCTGTGTGTGTGTGAGCCTAATGATGTCATCAGCTGGAGAGCCTCAAAGCAGCCATTCACCAAAAATGGAAATACACCTTAAGCCCCGTTCACACCGCCAGCGATTTTGTCGCTGTGTGTCGCTAGGCTCTGTACTGTGATGTCGCTTGTGGGCGTTCGTAGTGCTGTCGCTCTTGTGTTATTGGTAGACTGCACGTCTGGCCATATCTATACAAGAGATCATCCCAAGTGATATATAATTTTAATTTGACTGGGAATAAATGACTTTTAAGGCTAAAAAGAAACCATATGCTGTTGGGAGAGTGTTTTATATCTCCACAGCTGTGTTCAGTGGATTAAATCATTTACTAAATAATCTTGTCTAACTAATAATCTTGTCCTGTCTATCAAAAATCTTTGAAATTCAAATTAATAAACAGTTACTAGGTCATCTTGAAGCCCACCATAGCTTGTCTGACATGCAATCTGGCTTTCGTGCAGGACATGGTTGTACCTCAGCAACACTTAAGGTGTTAAATGACATCATAACAGCTATCGATGAAAGAAAACACTGTGCTGCTGTCTTTATTGACCTGGCTAAGGCTTTCGACTCTGTTAACCACAGCATCCTCATCGGCAAACTCAAAGGGCTGGGCCTCTCAAACGAGTGCCTTGCCTGGTTCCTGAATTATTTTACGGATAGATTTCAGAGTGTCAAGTCAGAGGGACTGCTGTCCGGGCCTCTGGCTGTCTCTGCGGGGGTGCCCCAGGGTTCGATCCTCGGGCCGACACTATTTTCCATTTATATTAATGATGTCGCTCTTGCTGCGGGCAATTCTCTAATCCATCTCTATGCAGACGACACTGTTCTATATACATCAGGCCCTACACTGGAATTTGTGTTGGAAACCCTCCAAAAGAGCTTTGAAGATCTGCAATTTGCTCTCTGTGATCTTAAACTGTCTTTAAACTCAAGTAAGACTAAATGCATGATTTTCAATCGGTCCCAGACTACACCGTTTTGTTTAAAAAACATCACCACCCTGGATGGGTCAAAGCTGGAATATGTGGAGAAATATAAATACCTAGGGGTCTGGCTTGACCCCTCGCTCTCCTTCCAAACACACATAAACTATCTCCAGTCTAAGATTAAATCCAGGATTGGCTTTCTATTTCGTAACAAAGCTTCCTTTACTTTTTCTGCAAAACAATCCCTTGTGAAAATGACCATTGTCCCAATGTTTGACTTTAGTGATGTAGTCTACAGAACTGCCTCAAGCTCTCTTCTCAAGAAACTGGATGTTGTTTACCACTGTGCTATTCGTTTTGTAACCAACGCCCCATATAACACTCATCACTGTACCCTTTATTCACTAGTTGGATGGCCTTCGTTACATACCCGGCGCCTAAGCCACTGGTATTATCTAATCTACAAGACCTTATTAGGCAAAACACCATCTTATCTAAAATCATTAATACCTGTGGCAGTACCTACACGCAACCTGCGCTCGAGTAGATACATCTTCCTCGTTGCTAGAAAAGCCCGTACCTCATTCGGTCGCTTTTCTTTCCAATTTTCTGCTGCAAACGATTGGAACAATTTACAAAAATCTCTCAAACTAGAATCCTTCATACCTATCATTACTTTTAAAGCAACACTTTCTAAACTACTAACGGACCACTGTACATGTTAATATTATTTCTTGTGCATATCCAAATGAACAGCTATTGTTGGTAATAATCTACACCGCACCATGTTATTTATGCTATCTCAGGATATCTATCCTTCAACTATACTGCTTGTGCTTTTATTTAGTACTAAGTTAATAGTAGTAAGTTGTTTTAAATTTTTATACTCTGTTCTGCATTTTAATTGAATCTGAAAATCTGTATGTGTGATTATACACTTGAATGTTGTACACAATGTGTAATTTTATGTTGCCTTGCATTTTTAGCCTGTCTTGGCCAGGTCGCGGTTGCAAATGAGAACTTGTTCTCAACCGATTAACCTGGTTAAATAAAGGTGAAATAAAAATAAAATAAAATACTAGATCAACGATCGATCAATGAACAAATTAAACTCACTCATACGGTCACAAATTATAAAAACGTCATTCGAATTTGACAAATAATCAATTTTCTTGTCCCTAATAGTCAATGTAATGCAGGGGAAATTGTAAAATGAACTGCAGCAGTGCTAACGTGCATCATATAATTACAACACTCGAACTATAACGTTAAATGTATGAATTAAACTCACTGTCGACAGTTTCTTTTCCATGCATCATTTTATTATCCATGTATGTGGTTACAGTCAAATCATATAAAACAGTGAAATCGTCCTCAAACTCTTTCTTTCTGTCTTGCCTGCACTCGAGACGGTGACGTGAGCTGAGCTCCACTGAAAGTCTTCTTTCCTATTGGTTGTCGCTCGCGAAAATCGCTTCTCATTTGCATAAAGTTGAAAATTCTCAACTTTTGTCGCTTGTCTCTTGTCGCTTGACACGCCCACATTCTGTCGCCAACGGTCACTGTCGCTCGTGTCGCCGGATGTCGCCAGCGCTCCATTGAAATGAATGGGATCTTGTCGCTTTGTCGCTGCGTGTCGCTGGCGGTGTGAACGGGGCTTTATTGTATTGATGATGCATATTATATATAAAAGCAAACAGATGAGCCCAGAATATAAATGCAATACGCTAAATTGCACGTCAGTTATAAACAAAATGCTTAATATGGATTAAGACAATGTGTTCATAGTCTGCCATTATTTACTCATCTCATGTTTACTTTTCATATACTGTATTTATGAGATCAAATTATGCTTATTGTACAAGAACTAGGTTAAAATGAAACTCGTCAAGTCCCCCTTAAAGGGATACTCCACTTTTTTTTTGGAAATAGGCTCATTTTACAACTCCCTCAGGGTTAAACAGTTGAATTTTACCGTTCTTTTTTTTTAATCCATTCAGATGATTTTCTGATATTTAGAAGAATATCAGTAACCAGAGAGTTTCTGGTCTCATTGATAGGGTTGGGAACCGAGAACCGGTTCTTTTCCAGAACCGGTTGTGTTTTTTAAAAAATACCGGAACCGTGCAAAATTCCTAAGTTTCGGTTCCGAAAACGGTTCTGATGCCGATGCGATATCATCATGTGGGCGAAGTGCTGGGAGTAGAAGACGCCGTCTTATTCCTAAATGACAAAAACTTCACCACTGAAGTTGCGATTTGCTCTCACACGCGCTGCATTTGTCACACACAGACACACGCACGCTGCGCGCGCCGACCGCCGAGTCACTCTCTAGTCTAGCCTACATTCAAATCTGTTTGCGCTGAGAGAGAGAGAGCAGTTGTCGATATGAAACTGCTTTACAATCACACAGTCTCAATATTTATTTGTTTCACATATTCAAATGATTTCCGTTACAGAATTAGTGAGATTATAGTTTGAGTAAACATTGACGGTAGTGGTCAAAACAGATGCAGTCCGTATATTTTTTGTGTTCAGATTTTACAAAATATATACAATGAGCGAGTGCATCATAATGTTTTTTTTTTTCAAACCGTGTTTTTGTCTTATCTTGAATCACTACGTAAAGCCTGTAATAAGCGTTAATACTCGGACTTCTTTAGACTGGCCGGCGGATCGCAGCTGCTGCGGAGTATAGCCCAATGCCTGCGTGACTCGTCATGGACATAAACAGAGAGAAGTAGCTCCGGCAACAATGTTCTTCCGCAAGACGCATTTCTGTTTATTAACTGCTAGAGCGCCGATTTATCCAGTAATGAAATAAGTAAAGTCTTAATGAATCAATCATTCAAACCGTTTTAAAAAATAATCTGTTTTACACACATATGTGTGTTAAAGCATATTCTACTCCTTCTGAGAGGGTATTCTTCACTGTTGGAGATACAATAAAGGAGCGGTCTAAATTATTATAGAGAATGCAGAATTTTTCCTTTATATATATACCCTATATATATATATATATATATATATATATATAATTTTTTTTTTGCAAAGATTGCTTAATAATATTTTGAGTTTGTTTACATTACCAGTCTGTTAAACTAATTTGTCAAGTACTATAAGAAATAAACACAAAAAGGATTGTGGATTTTTCTCTTACTAATATTTTAATTGAATGGGAACCGGAACCGGAATCGTTTGGCGGAACCGGAATCGGAACCGGAAACGGAAAATTTCTCACGATTCCCAACCCTACTCATTGACTTATATATACTATGGAAGTCAATGAGACCAGAAACTGTGGTTACTGATATTCTTCTAAATATCAGAAAATCGGCTGAATGGATTAGAAAATGGTCAAACTCAACTGTTTAACTCTGGGGGAGTTGTAAAATGAGCCTATTTCCAAAAAAAGTGGAGTATCCCTTTAATGATTCATTTTCATTTCTGTCACAGATTAAAATCGAGCTCCCTGTTCATCTCCATGAGAAGCATCACGTTCTCTTTACTTTCTACCACATAAGCTGTGAGGTTGGCAACAAACCCACCACCAAGAAGCGAGAGGGAGTGGAAACACTGGGTGAGTGTGTGTGTGTGTGTGTGTGTGTGTTTGTGGTCTTTATGCACTACCGTTCAAACGTTTGGAGTCAGTTTGATTTTTATTGAAGATTTTTATTCAGCAAGGATGCATTAAATGTAAAGACATTTATAATGTTACAAAAGATTTCTGTTTCAAATAAACACTGTTCTTTAGATCAAAGAATCCTGAAAAAATTTATGACAGTTTCCACAAAAAATATTAAACAATAATCAGAAATGTTTCTTGAATCAGCATATCAGAATGATTTCTGAAGGATCAACATGATCACTAGTAATGATGCTAAAAAATCCAGCTTTACCAGTAACGATGATGTAATCATACTCATGATGCTTAAAATCCAGCTTTACCTGAATAAATTACATTTTTTCAAATATATTCAAATAGAGAACAGATATGTTAAGTTGTAATAATATTTCAAAATATTATAGCTAGGCGGACCGCTCTCGGACACAAATATTTTTTTTTAAGTTTATAATATTAAGATTTACGTTTAGCTGCTTGGTTCGTGGTTTATAACTTTTTTGAAATCCCTAATGGGAGAAATGAATGGGGAAAAAATACATCTGGAACCAACTCTGCTGAAAAAGTGGGCGGACATGGTTGCACTCTCTTGACCTTTAACCCTTGCTCTCTACAGTGGGTTTTTCCTGGACTCCTTTATTGAAGGATGGCAGAATCCAGTCCTCAGACCTACATCTTCCTGTGTCTGCTAATCTACCAGCTGGTTACATGTTTGACAAGAGCCAAGACTCAAAGAAGGTACAATCTTCTTTTCAGCTAAAAAAAAATCATTTTAAATGTGTGTGTGTGTTTGTTGAGTTGGTTGTACATTGACCCGGTTAGATTGATTGATTTGGTTGATTCACTGATTCGTTCTGTCATTTATTTATTTATTTTCTAGACTTGCCCGGACATCAAATGGGTGGAAAATGCCAAACCATTATTCAAAGTGCGAGTGAATGTAGCATCAACAATTTACACGCAGGTCTGTTGATCTGATCCGAGGATTGCTCAGCCGATTTCAATCCGTTGTACTGAACAGAGAATAATGAAGTGTCACGTAAGATAAAACTGTTTAATCTAGTAACTTCCACCCCATCCAGGATTTGCACCTCCACAATTTCTTCCAGCATTGCCAGCTGATGAGGTCAGCGTCACAGGGCAATCCCGCTGAACTCGTCAAGTACCTAAAGGTGAGAACATGGGACAGTGCAGATGTCATCATTTCATTGGAGTTAAACCCAATAGTATGGACTTTTTAAACATTTGTATAACAACAGAGGACATATGAATGAAGTTAATGCTCACCCACAGGATTTCTCTGAGCTTTTGAGCTTTTATTTGGAACACATTTAGGAAATAACCATAAAAATTTAGGGTTGGTAAGATATTTAGTTGTTTTTTTTAAAAGAGTCGTCTCTCATAAAGTCTCTCATAAAGTCTTATGCTCATCAAGGCGGCTTATTTAATCAAAAATGCATTGAAGACCTACATATTCTAAAGTATTATCACAATTTAAAAGTACTTTTTTCTATTTTAATACGTTTTAAAGTGTAATTTTTTCATGTGATAATCATTACTCCAAGGCAAGGCAAGGCAAGGCAAGTTTATTTATATAGCACATTTCATACACAATGGCAATTCAAAGTGCTTTACATAGAAGAAATTAAAATAATCCAAAAAAGAAATCAGAATAATTAAAACAGTTTAGAATAAAAAATAAGAAATAATGAAAAATAAAAAATATGATAAAAATAAAATACAGTAAATTAAAATAAAATACAGTAAACAATTCAAAAGTACTTTTTTCTATTTTAATACGTTTAAAAGTGTAATTTTTTCATGTGATAATCATTACTCCAGTCTTCAGTGTCACATGATCCTTCCGAAATCATTTTTATATACTGATTTCAAGACATTTATATTGCTAAAAAAGATTTCCATTTCAAATAAATGCTGTTCTTTTGAAATTTCTATTCATCAAAGATTACATTTTCACAAAAATATTGAGCAGCACAACTTTTTTTTAACAATGATAATAATAAGAAATGTTTCTTGAGCATCAAGGCTCATATTTAATCAAAAATGCATTGAAGACCTACATATTCTGAAGTATTATCACAATTTGAAAAGTACTGTTTTCTATTTTAGTAGGTTTTAAAGTGTAATTTTTTCATGTGATGATCATTACTCCAGCCTTCAGTGTCACATGATCCTTCAGAAATCATTCTTATATGCTGATTTGCTGCTCAAGAAACATTTCTCATTATTTTCAATGTTGAAAACGGTTATGCTGCTCAACATTTTTGCGAAAATGTAATCTTTGATGCATAGAAATTTTAAAAGAACAGTATTTATTTGAAATGGAAATATTTTGTAGCAATATAAATGTCTTTACTGTCACCTCTGATAAACTGAATGCATCCTTGCTGGAAAAAAAGTATAAATCTCTTAAAAAAAAAAAAAAAAAAAATGAAGATCTTACAGATCCCAAACCTTTGGATGTCAGTGTACTTTGTAATCTTTTAATGTCCTGTCTCCTCTCCAAGTGCCTACATGCGGTAGAGACTCAGGTCATCATCAAGTTCCTCCCTACGGTGCTCGTTCAGCTCTTTGGAGTCCTCACTATGGCAAACAAAGAGGGTCAAGACATTGCTGTCAACTCCACACGGTGATTTACTACCTTATTAGTCCTCTCAGAAAGACACCAGCTGCATTACTGTTTTGTATGCAGACTGGCCTGTGAAAAACTTGAACCTTTTCGTCATCTTTTCGTTTAATTTAAAGTGTAGGAATGCTCCCTAATATTGACACTACTAATGTGCCTCTGTTTTACAGTGTCATCATTCACATAGTGTCTCAGTGTCATGAGGAGTGTCTGGAGCACCACCTACGCTCTTTTGTGAAGGTACGACACTGTTAAGATCCTGAAAGATCCTTTCGTCTCACGTTGGCTTGCTGAAGAGATACACAGCTGCTCATCTGCGGTGATGCGTGTTGCGGTAGTTATGCTGTCGTATCTGGCTATATCAGGTCAAATAGCCAATAACACCCTCTCTCGTGTTGATTTTTGAACATTTTAGGAGTAAAATGTACATGTGGTTTTAACAACCAGATGCATTTACACTTGAATGCGTCTCAGACCAAGCGATCGGATTTAAATCCCATCTCCAAAGCGTTTTCAGAGGGCATTTACACCTCATCTTTTCACGATCGGATAGCTATCCCATCACCGGAAACGCATGAAGTGACCAGGTGTAAATATATAAAGAAAAACTGACAAATGTGCGTTTGGTATTTTTTTTTATTTGGTAACATAAACATTGATTTGATTAGTCCAAGAGTGGTTTAAACCAGTGGTTCTCAACAGGTTTGGCCATGCGACCCACCGTGGTCATTAAAGGATTAGTTCACTTTTAAAAAAACTTTTGCTGATAATTTACTCACCCCCATGTCATCCAAGATATCCATGTCTTTCTTTCTTCAGTCGAAAAGAAATTAAGGTTTTTGATGAAAACATTGCAGGATTTTCCTCCATATAATGGACTTTACTGGGAACCAAACAGTTCAAGGTCCAAAAGACACTTTCAGTGGAAACTTCAAACTGTTCAAAGGGCTTCAAATGATTCCAGACGATGAATAAGGGTCTTATCAAGTGAAACGATTGCTCATTTAATAAATAAATAACAAAGTTTAAGTTTTATAAGCTCAAATGGTCGCCTTGCTCTGTTCTGTGATGCACGTTCGTGACGCTCCTGTTCGAACTCGTTCATCAAAATGAGCAAATCTTTTTCCGAGTCATTTGGTTAATTCAACGAACGAAACAAACAAATTGACTCTGAAAAAGATTCGTTCATTTTGATGAACGAGTTCGAACAGGAGAGTCACGAACGCGCATCACAGAACAGAGCAAGGCGAGCATTTGAGCTCATAAAACTTAAACTTTGTTATTTATTTATTAAATGAGCGATCGTTTCGCTTGATAAGACCCTTATTCATCGCCTGGAATCATTTGAAGCCCTCTGAAGCTGCAATGTAACTGACTTTTGGACTTTGAACCGTTTGGTTCCCATTGATGTCCATTATATGGAGAAAATCCTGGAATGTTTTCATCAAAAACCTTCATTTATTTTCGACTGAAGAAAGAAAGACATGGACATCTTGGATGACATGGGGGTGAGTAAATTATCAGCAAAAGTTTTTTGAAAAGTGAACTACTCCTTTAAGCCACAATAAAAAAAAAAATGGAATTTGAACCACCTTTTCTCTTTTGCAGTACGTGTTTCGGATCAACACATCTTCAGAAAACTCTGTGACGACACATGAAGTTTTGGCTACAGCTGTGACTACTATCCTCAAACAAACTGCAGACTCCAACACCTGCAACAAACTCCTCAAGGTGACAAAACTGTTGCGTTATGCTGAATACGACCGATTTGCACAGCAGGAGGCGCTGTTGTTTCTAGTTTCTTTCCTTTGGATTCACTTCAAAATTGAGGTTTGCTGTCTAAGTTCTGAGGAATTGGTACAATAATGATCATGATGTCATCGTTCACACCCAAATAACACAAGACACTTTCTTTTATTTAATACCACTGGACTACCTCAGTGTATTTGAACGATTATATACCCTCCTTTTCTCATACAGACTAAGCATCGCCTTAAAGACACATTTTTTTGGGAAATCAATTCTCAGAACTTCCTCAGAACTAAGTTTTAGGGAATTTGCTGTTTCACGTTTGTTGTTTCAGCAATGCAGTTCACTTACACTTTGTATTACTGTTGTGATTATCTTGTACTATTGTATGAATGGCATTTATAGACTCACAATTTGTATTATTATTAATTTTAGATGCAACTACTGTTAAACTACTTTTCTCTAAACTCTACACACAAAACATGCAAAACTTCACACAAAAGCACAAACTATTTTAACTCTTCTAAAAATGTTGTTTTTGCATAGTAACTCTACAAGCAAACCAATGATTAGCCATATACATATATATTGTTTTCAGCATATCAGAATGATTTCTGAAGAATCATGTGACATGAAGACTGGTGTAAATTCAACTGTTATTTTAAACTATTTCACAATATTACTATTTTACTGTGTTTTTGATCAAATAAATGCAGTCTTGGTGAGCATAAGAGGCTTCCTTCAAAATCTTTAAAAAAAAATCTTAATTTTTCCCAAACTTTTGAATGGTAGTGTTTGTGGTATTATATCTGTATATAAAATGTGTATTTGCACACATTTTCAACATTCCACTGTGTTTCTGTATTAAATCCTCTCTCTCTCTTTGTCTTTATTCCAGTATTCCTGGTTCTTCTTTGAGACTATGGCCAAGTCAATGGCACAGCACCTCCAGGACGGCAACAGAATGAAAGTTAGTATAACCATTCACATGTTTTAGACCGACACAAGTTCACAAAGTATTGTCTTTAAAGTGATAATTCACCGGAGAATGAAAATTCTGTCATTAATTTCTAACCCTCAAGTCGTTCCAAACCTGTAAGACTTTCGTTCATCTTCGGGGAAACACAAATGAAGATATTTTTAATAAATCTTGAGAGATTTCGGTCCCTCCATTGACAGCTATGCAACTGCCAATGGGTTCGTTCACCCTAAAATTAAATTTCTGCCATGATCTTCATTTATGTTCGGAACACAAATACATATTTTGGCCTATGGCTGGTTCAGAAACCTCTCAGATTTCATCATAAATATCTTTATTTGTGTTCTGAAGATGAATGAAGGTCTTACGAGTTTGGAACGACATGAGGGTGAGTAAATTAATTAATGAGGGTAAACTATCTCTTTAAAATAATCCTTTTCTTTCTCGTCATCATCAGGTAAACACTAGCTGGATGTTAATAATTCTGGGTTGTCGAGCAGGATGTTTTCAACTTTTGCATTTGTACACAGAATGCGGTGAACTTCCTCATTCTTTAAAAGTGTAAAATACACACACACACAGTATGAACTCATAAACACACACAAAGCACAAGCTGGGCTATACTGTACTGTTGACATTAAGTGTTCGTTTGCATGTACAGTGTGTGTTTAACAGTTTCAGCTTTCCAAACATGTTCAGACCTATTTTACATGCCATCGGACCCTATTTGCATAACTGAAACTGTGTCTCATGTTATGCCAATCTAGGGCCAGTGTGTGAAGTCTAGTGTTCTTACATGCCTTCACCACAATGGGTTGCATAACACACGATCACATGACTGTTTTCTCTTTTGTTGTAATTGAATTTCCGTGTGCTAATCTGGGATATTAACAGCTGACATGAAATTTAATAGAACTTCGCTTACAAATGAAGATTTGCTGTTACCACTGAAACTGTGCAGCATTCATGGCATTCATGATGGTTAATCCTATGAAACCACCTGCATTCCCTACAGATGCCGCGAGCGCAGAGGTTTCCAGAATCATTCCACCAAGCGCTGCAGTCTCTGCTGTTGTCCATCATGCCTCACATCACTATCCGCTATATGGAGATCCCCGAGGAGGCCCGATGCGTCAACTTCAGCCTGGCCAACTTCATTAAGGTCAGGCCTAAAGCTGGAGTATTTGAATAAGACCAGGGGGCTGGTTGCATAAACCTCTAAGACTAGTCATACAAGTTAGACATCCATTTATTTTCTTTAACCCTCAGGTGCTCTTCAAAAAAGTTTTGAATTTCTAAAAATCACACCTTCATCGGAATGTTATGAAACTTGGTGACTTTTATGGCATTATGTATGTGAATGCAAAAAAAAAAATTTAGGTCATGATCCGAGCATGCTAAGTGGTCGTAAAAAAAATAGTCACACTTGTGGTCTTCGGTCAGAAATGACCTACCCATAGGAAATGAATGGGAAATTGACAAAAAAAATTATAATTCTCTGAATTTTTGTATGCACAATCTACAAATCGGCCACTATTCTAAAAAAAAGTACACCGCAGGAAAGGGATGACACTCTACAAGATCTAGAGTGCAAAACAGACAAACCCACCCAAACGCACACACATACACACCAATACATTTTGATTACAAAAAGTATGTTTTGAATTTTTAAAAATCACAGCTTCATCGGAATGTTACGAAACTTGGTGACTTTTATGGCATTATGTATGTGAACACACAAAAAATTGAGGTCATGATCTGAGCATGCTAAGTAGTCTTAAAAAAATAGTCACACTTGTGCTCTTTGGTCAAAAATGACCCCCATAGGAAATGAATGGGAAATTGACAAAAACACAAAAATTCACAAATTTTTATTTATTTCTTTTTTTTAAAAAAAACATTTTTTAATAAAAAATCGTTTTTGAGATTGTTTCAACTATATATTCAAATCCACCAAAAAATAAATAAATAATTTGTTCACAAACATCTGGGGAATCCACATGCTTCTCCATAGAGAGCTGTACTATCTAGTGGTTACACCATGATTCTACGCTTTTTCTCTATACTGTAACCAGATGGTGCTAATTTTCTTCAAAAAAAATTTTTTTTTTCTGAGGGCTTAGACTCTATATTAAACTAAAATACTGCATTAATAATTTTTTGAAAAAAATAATATACAGTATATAGAAAAATATATGTATTTTTACATGGAAAAATAGACCATAAATATTGCATAAATATTAATAAATTGAATCAAATTGTCTCAAAATACTAAATTACAAAGAATAAATATTATAGAACAAAAATCAATTGCATTGGTTTTACTGGGATGGAGGAAATTAAATTTTTAGGTGTCCGGTCACTTTTGACCGGGAAGATAACAAGTGTGACTCAGTTAAGTGTGTTAAGTCAGTTGCATAGCCTAATTTGATACCGAATACTAAGACGGACTGCCCTTGACTAACTGCTTGTGGGTCACACTAGAACTTAAGACAATGTCTTAAATGGTAAATGGACTGCATTTATATAGCGCCTTCATAGACCTAATGGCCACCAAAGCGCTTTACATTTGCCTCACATTCACCCATTCACCGACGGCGGTGTCAGCCATGCAAGGCGCCAGCCAGCTCGTCGGGAGCAGCTGGGGTTAGGTGTCTTGCTCACGGACACCTCGACACTTGGTCAGGTGGAACCGAGGATTGAACCACCAACCTTTTGGTTCGTAGACAATCCACATGAACCACTGAGCCACTGCCGCCCACAAACACAATGGCTAGCCATGTTAGGCCCTAGTGCCTAGTTGCATAAACACACTCAGGGCCCTATCCTACCCGGCGCAAATGACTTCGTACACTGACGCATGTTTCATTCCTATTTTACACCCATGCAAAGCAGGCTTTTTCTTCCACAGACGCACGTAGATAAACTAGGAAATGAATTTAAACTAGGAAATAAATAAAAAACTTTACAATCAATATATATACATATATATATATATATGTATATTGATTGTAAAGTTTTTTATTGAGCATATATATGTACATGTTCTTTAAAATGAGCACAAGATATTCTGATAGTCTGATATTTTACTTTAACATTAATCGTAGCTTGCCCTTTAGACTAATAATTAAACTGAATTGAGGAAAAGAGGTCGATGAGTCAGTATTTTTGTTTTCTTACAATAAAATATTACTGATATTTAACACTCCAGTCTCTTTTTTAAGGAACTATTAAAGTAATCTATTAATAGACATTATTTGAAGTGAGTTTCAACATGTGGGCTTGGTCAGCATAGCAAGATTGTGTTATGGTAATATTTTTTATATAGTTTCTCGGCTACCAGTAGTCACCATGTATGAATTATGGATTACTCATTAAGCCAAGATGGATTTCACTGAATGTTTGGCTAACATTCAAGATCCCGTAGAGTTTTACCAAACAAACTTGTTTGTATAAAATATGATTGGTGTGTTATTTAATTGTATGATATTTATTTGATTTGTAATTGATTTTTCTCATGAACTCACTGATTTGCACAATGTTGTTCTGTCTTTCCCTGCACAGCGCTGCCTAACGTTTATGAACAGAGGATTTGCTTTCAGTTTGATAAATGACTACATGTGTGGCTTCAGCCTGAAAGATCCAAAGGTAGGCAAAAAAGATCAACTCCATTATACAGCCAAAGCAATGCTACTGACATTGGCTCTAGGGTTGCCAACACTAATCGATCAACCTGGTGGTCTTCACAATAACATTTGTATCATGACCATTAAAGGGTTAGTTCACCCAAAAATGAAAATGAAGTCATTAATTACTGACCCCCATGCTGAACCAACCCCGTAGGACCTTAGTTCATCTTTGAAACACAAATGAAGATATTTTTGATTACATTTTTTTGCTACATAGGCTGCCTAAGGGATCGAAACTTGACGGCCCAGACATATGTGCAAGAATTGCGAGATTTTGATTAATATGAGCGAGGGTTTTAGATCTGGCGAGTTTTATGCTACGTTCACACCGGACGCGAATCGCGCGTCAAATTTGCGCCTGACGCGTCTAGTTTGACGCTTGACCACTTTGTGTTAATTCGCGTGTCAAGAGCGAAACTGGCGCGCGTAAAAACAAAAGTTTGAAGCGTCACGCGCGTCAGAATCGAAATCCGTTGGCGGCCATTGTTTTTATGTCGACCGAGCATTCATCAAGAGAGTTACCGCTCTGTATTTACTCTGGAGAGCAGAACAGCGGCGTGGGGATCATCGTCGCCGTATATTTGTGTCCACCGGACCCTTCAGAGCCATTTAGTCATATTAACAAAATAATTTATTGAAGTATCCAGACACTTCACCACGTGAGAAAGCAGCTAGGCTCCTGATTGGTTAGCGCGGCGCGAATTCACGCCAAAGTTCAGATTTTTCAACTCGGGCGGCAGACGCGAATTCGCGTCAAACGCGTGAATGCACAAATGGCACTAACTGAATCATTCGCGCGTAACGCGCTTAACTAGCCAGACGCTCAATTCGTGCGAACTTCCACGCCTCGCTCCACGCCTCATTCGCGCCGCAGGAATTTTTCACGCGCGTAAAGCGTCTTTGCATTGACTTAACATTGAAATCATTCGCGCCTGACGCGCTATTCGCGTCCGGTGTGAACGTAGCATTAGAAGATCAAAAACAATCCAAAACCGGCCTTTATTTGAGACCGGCTTTTATTTACCCAAACACCAGGCGTGTAAAAGAGACAGACGTCTATTTGGGACTCGGCTATTATTTGAAGTTTTACGGTATATATAAAATATGAATTAACAATGAATTTACGGGACAAAACATGATTTTTTCATAGTAAGTCGGGACACTAAAATTAGAGTTGAAAAACGGGACGCCTGGTCACCAGACCAATACTTGAACTGTTTTAGGTCATTTGACATATTGTTTGCTTTGGCAGGTACAGCTCTCATGCTTCGTTGCTTTTATCTCATCAAACCAATTGGGTATTCATAGGGAGTTGATGTTTTTCCGTTTTGATTGTTAAGAGATTGACTTCTCTGTGAGGACTTTCTCAACAGACATCTAGATGATGTGTGTGAGTCATAATGTTTTTTCTGGAATAGCTTCTCTGTGCTGTTGATATCACTGAGGGTTTCTATCATAACATCATGCAGAACTTATTTTGACTTGCAAAAACTGTGTGCCACAGCCGTCTAGACTGTCCCTGGAATGCACATGCATTGATACGGTGCAAATTATTAATCTGCAAATATCTGATGAAACCATGTTTGAGAGGTTGATGGTTGATAGGCTAATGTTTTCTATTGCTTGTGAGGTACCTTGGGTGTTATGAAAGGCGCCATTAAATAAAATGCATTATAATGTTTGTATTTTATGCTTGAAATAATAATCACATGGACCAGCAGTGTTAACAATCTCATTGTCACGAGCTGCGGGACTTTTGTCTATTCCTATTTTTTTTCTGTGACTAACAAACCTAATAAAATTTAGACTTCTAAATTAAATGAATGTTTACTCAAATACTCTTTCTATACATTTGAATACTGAGTTATGATAATTAATTGCATATATTTACTATGGGATTAGCGTGTGGGGTTAATGTTAGTTGCATGTAATTATGTAAAAATAATTACACTGTAAAATAGTGTTACTATGCTTTTCATATAAACCTGTTTTTTGAAAAATATTTATGGAAAGCATGAGTATATCACTGAAATTTGAGAATATTGCACTTTTTTTTTTGTTAATGATAAGAACCATCAGGGGAGCAAAGTATTATGATAATGTAAACACAAAAGTTTGTGTTTACATAATATATGTGGGCGTACTGTGTATAATTATTTTGTATATATATAAATACACACACATGTATGCATATTTAAGAAAAAAATATTATTTATATATGAAATATTTATATTTATATATAATATAAATTATATATAAATCTATATACAGTATATACATGAAAATATTTCTTAAATATATACAAGCATGTGTGTGTATTTATATATATATATATATATATATATATTAGGGCTGTGCAAAAGTTAATTGCGATTAATCGCATCCAAAATAAAAGTCTGTTTTACATAATATATTTGAGTGTGCTGTATATAATTATTTTGTATATATAAATACCTATGCATGCATGTATATATTTAAGAATTATTTGCGCTTGAATTCTGTATATATAAATAAATACATAATCTATATTATATAAATATAAATATTTTATATAGGAATAACACATTTTCTTAAACATATACATGCATGTGTGTCTATTTATATATACAAAATAATTATATACAGCGCACACAAATATACTATGTAAACACAGACTTTTATTTTGGATGCGATTAATCGCAATTAACTTTTGCACAGCCCTAATATATATATAAAATAATTATACACAGTGCACCCACTTATATTATGTAAACACAAAAATTTATTTTGAATGCGATTAATCATTTGACAGCCCTAATATATATATATATATATATATATATACTTTTATATATATTAATATATTTGTTGTATCGGTTGATATTTGATATTTAATTGTACATGTTAATTTCCACTATATTTCTGTTTACCTTAGTTTATATCAGCTCACGTGAAGATGATATTTAAAAATTAATTCTAATAGTTAAATAATATTTAATTTAAATAACACGGTTAAATATAATTTTTTAGCAAATCTCCAAATGAACATCCGTTTTTCTTTCATTTTTAAATTCTAACTAAAAACTAACAACAAAAGTTTACTTTTCAGTAATTTATTTATTTTTTATTTGCACAAAATATTACAGTTTACAAAATATTATAGTTTAATGTTTGCATTTTATTTTTTGTCAGACATTACATAAAAACAATTAATGTAATATCGTACCAGCCAGAATTGTAATATTGGCCTCCCTTATTTGTACTGTCTGTTAGTAACAACTAGGATGTGAATTTAGGCGTTTAGCTTGTCTGAACTTGAGCAGATGCACTTTTGCGATAAATCTCAAATCTGTCTGTTACACATCTATATATCTAAACCAACTTCTCCAGCAACTCACTCATCAGTTTCATGTCCAATATTCACAGGTGCTTACAGAGATGAAGTTCGATTTTCTCATGACGGTGTGCAACCACGAGCACTACATTCCTCTTAACCTGCCCATGGCGTTCGGCCGGACCAAGTTGCAGCGAGTGCAGGGTAGGTGTCTCCACCCTATCATTGTGACTGCCATGGCTTTCCCCTGCCCTCATCCTCCCCTCATTCCAGTCTAACGACTTCACCACATTCAGATCTGCTAGTACCACCATTCCTCACGCCATGTTACTTGAACCTGAAAACCGAGCTACACAGGGATTCAAGCGTCATGAAATGGGGGGTGATGACATCTAAGCTTAACATCTCATTTGTTTTCCCTAAACACTAGTGATTCAACGGATCACAAAACCCGTGGTTTTGGATCATATTGCAGTTTTTGAGTCACGGATCGGATCATTTTTCGGATCAGCTATGTTTCGGTGTTGATAAAAACTCTCTTTTGCCTCTTCTAGCGCTGGAATGGTTTGAAATCAATTGAATGTGTAAACCAGCAAGACAAACCACATACAAATTATAAACTTTCATACTATGCGATTAAACTTAAAATTAGTCGGCAAATCACATGCGTGCCGAACCGTGGGGGCTGGTCCGTAACAATCCGCTTAACCCCTACTAATATTAAACTAATTTAATTTATGACTAGGGCTGTCAAACAATTAATCGTGATTAATCGCATCCAAAATAAAAGTTTGTGTTTACATAATATATGTGGGTGCCCTGTGTATAATCATTTGTATATATATAAATACACACACATGGATGTATATTTAAGATTTTTTTTATTTATATATAAAATATTTATATTTATATATATTATAAATTATATATAAATCTATATACAGTATATACATGGAAATATTTCTTAAATATATACAAGCATGTGTGTGTAGTTATATATATAAAATAATTATACACAGTGCACCCACATATATTATGTAAACACAAACTTTTATTTTGGATGCGATTAATCGTGATTAATCGTTTGACAGCCCTATTTATAACACAAATAATGGCTGTCATGTGTTTATCAGTTTTTGGATTTCTAATCGGAAACTAATAAAACAGTCTCTATATACTACTACGTTCAGTCAGTCAGCATGGATCACTCCTTTAAAGCTACATATTTTATATATTTTGTCAGGATTGCTATTCCACTGACTGTCACACCACAAACACAGTTCAGATAAAGTTCAGACAAATGATTGAAAATTAGCAAAAACATTTTACAAACATGCAAGATTAAAAAAACATGCAAGATGGATGTTTAAAGTGTTTATCAGTGCATAATGCATTACCAACTTTGAGTTTTTTGGGTATTGGGTATTTGGGTATTTGGGTTGGGTATTGTTTTTTAACGATTCTGCTTATCTATTCCGATTCCTACTTTTGATTACAATAAGGTCAAAAACAACAACTTAGAAATCTTTCACGTTTATTCTAAGTCTAATTGCAAAACATTTGATTGCAGCTGAATACCATGAACCAAAGTCAACAGGCTAAAGAACACAAGGAACATTTGCCTACACTCTAAACAATGCTGAGTTGTTTTAACCCAAATTTGGGTCAATTATGGACAAACCCAAATGTTGGGTTAAAAATGTAATTTAAAATTTCACTTTCAACTGAAATTTTTTTAATTACATTTTTAACCCAACATTTGGGTTTGTCCATATTTGACCCAAATTTGGGTTGAAACAACCCAGCATTTTTTAGAGTGTATGGTTTAAAAATACCATAGTATATACATAGTAAGTGATATTAAAGAGAAGTAAAAACTCAGTAATTAAAAATTAGAAATCACACGACTGAACATTGTTTTAAGCTTTTCAGGTAGAAACTATAATCAGATGTCGCTTTATAAGTAAAATTTACATAACAAATATAGTTACAAAAGTTTTTCAGTCAAGAACAGCGAGTGAATGTTTTCTTTATCTTTTGTTGTTTAATGCTATAATAGAGACGGCAGCAGGAATATTAGGCTGCTGTCGCTTTAAGAGCTGCACGGATCCAATATACTGACACGTGCCGACAGTTTTTACGTGGATATTTGACGTATTTTTGTGTTTATTTGTCCACTCAAGTGCAAAAATATGCTAAAGAGAACTCAGTTCAGTATCATGCACTATTCAATCGATTCTCATTTTTACGAATATCGATTCGTATCGATTTTTTTTACATTTTTACGATATCGATTCTTAAATGTCAAGAATCGATTAGTCATCCTGTTTCATTTGAATGAATGGAACATTGTATCGCGGCTGCGCACATCCAAAAAATTGCAATAATCTTTGTCCTTTGTTACTATTGATATGAAGTCTTCGGGCTTTATTGTGTTATCCCTGACTACTTTTGTATTTGTTTTTTTAAAATGTGTGCAACAGTTTCTTACTGTTCTTCATATTTTTATATTTAAGTGGTCAAATAAATCTAATCTAATCTAATCTAATGAAACAAAGTCTCAATTTTCAAATTACGTCCATTTTCTTTAGAAATTCAAAAACATAAATAGCGTTTTGGCGTTGTGGCGTGAGATCGCTCTGGCGCAGCTCAAGAGAAGCAGCAGCGCTGATCTCTCTTCCGGCTTAATAATACCAGTCACAGCGCCAAATAAACATGAATGAGCATCTGAAAGTGTGTTAAAGATAGAGTACAACTTATCCAAATCCGTATCATGTCACATTGATTCACTCAATCAGCTTTTCAACCGTGGAAAGACGTCAGTTAAACAGCTTGTAATCAATGTATTGTCATATATTTACCTCAGAAAACCCACATAAACTCGTTAGTCAGCTAGAAAAAAATAACTCTAGAGAGGAGCATTTTGCTAAATATATACACCATATTACATATGCATTATAATCTTGATGTTCTTCAATATTTAATGCATATTTGAATAAATCTGGCAAGTTTTTATGCCAGCCACCATTTAAATGTTTATATTTCATATAATCTTCTTATTATAAAAATAAATAAAAGTGTAATTTAAGTGTTTGTATAGCTAAAAAACAGTTCGTTATTACCTTCATATTAGGCTAATGAAGCCTAATAGGCTACAACTAGACTCCCATAGTTTACAGCATTAGTTAAGAGATTTGATTCCCTTGAGAAAATTTGCCATTTATTGTAACTGATATCTAAAATAATCAATATTTAATCGAATCGGAATCGAAATCGAAATCGAATTGCAAGCTTGTGAATCGAAATTGTGCGCACGTTTTGGGTGTGTGTATAACAAGTATCCGATTCATCCCCTTAAGTATCTGATTTCCGATTCCCAACCCTATTAGAGAGGCAGTATTTCATCCCAGACGCATCCACACACCCTCACAGCTTCACTCCCACCACTGTTGATGCAATCCTGCATGATTGCTTCCTTTATTCATTATTTCAGATTTTATTTCGTACGCGGCGGAGTGTTTCGGCGTCGTAGGTAGGTGATGCCGACCAATGCCAATGCACTTCCAGTCGCCAGATTATCGTCCTGATAACCCCACTAATTGCCTTGCTACGCTCCAGCATCACTCATGAATCACTGTCTAACTGCATTTCACACTTTTGCTTTTTCTGTCACCAAGCATTGCATATTTGATTTGGTCTGTTGAAAGGAAACGAAATGACTGTGGGTTGTGACAGAGGATTTTGGGGATTGTTTTACTCTATAGAAGTTTAAAGGGCCGTGTTTCATGCTGTCTGAGTTTGTTGCTGTTACACTTGACTGCATTTGTCTGTCATGTTCTGTCTTTACTTTCTCTCCAAACTGTAATTATATACTGTGCACTGATCAGAATGAGTGCAGAAACATCTTGTGTGTCGTAATCTGATTTCTATTACTAGTGTTGTACAGGAAAATGTGAGGAAATGTGGCTGTTTTCATTATTTACTTACCTTCATGTTTTTCCAAAACCAAATTACATTCTTTGAAACAAAAAGCATATGATATTTTCCATTCCTTAAAGGGATACTCCACATTTTACAACTGAGTTTTACCATTTTTGAATCCATTCAGCCAATTTTCTGATAAAAAAAAAATAAAATAATATGGAAGTCAATGAGACCAGAAACTGTCTGGTTACTGATATTCTTCTAAATATCAGAAAATCGGCTGAATACATTCGAAAACGGTAAAACCCAACTGTTTAACTCTGGGGGAGTGGTAAAATGAGCCTATTTCCAAAAATAGTGGAGTATCCCTTTAAGAGTTCACAGTGACCAGTGCTGTTAAAGGGTAACTAAACCCCTGGTCAGAGCCTGACTCCACCCACTGGCAATATTTGAAAAATGCTGAAAAAGTGGGCAGACCCCAGCGGAGATAGAGGGGACGAAATAGATGCTAAAACACTTTTCAATACTCGCAATTCCAACTCCCGTGACTCGCTACAGTGGTTTTGACTAAACAAGCTGGTTTTTATACTGCTAAGGGCGTAGCTCGCGTGATGAGCTGAAACCTGCGTACGTCACGAAGTGCGGAACATCCAATAGGAAAATTGAACTGCAGTAGCTAGCCATCGTTCAACCTGAAGAGGGCAGCACTAAGACGTTTTTACACCATATATTGCAGAAATAAAACACTTTATACACAAATGTCAAAAAAGTTACTCAAATCAATGGCTGGTATTAATAAAGATCGATTCTTACAGATCATTAACTAAAAAAAAGTTGGTTTAGGGTTTAGTTACTCTTTAAGCTGCTAAAATGACAGATGCCACCTTAAAGGCACACTATGTAAGATTTTTTGATTAAAATATGCAAAAACCATTTTGTTGACTTGTGGTACTTGCAATATCCTAATATTTCCAACAATGTCAACAATCAGCTATTTTGAAAAAAAAAATTATTATTAATAATTATTAATGAAATATTTTTACAATTGTACAAACTGTTTTGTTCAATATTTGAATACATTTTAAAATGTAAGTTATTTCTGTGATGCAAAGCTGAATTTTCAGCATCATTACTCCAGTCTTCAGTGTCACATGATCCTTCCTGTTCAAGAAACATTCCTTATATTATCAATGTTGAAAATCGCTTCATTTCTTGTGGAAACCATGATTCTTTTCCAGGAACCACATTTGTTTGAAGTAGAATTATTTTATAACATTATAAACGTCTGTAATAATGTATTGTTTGATCAATTTAATGCGAGTGCCTAGAAAACCGCTGAGACATTTAGTCAAGTTTAAAAAGAACTGACTTACTGCACTGTTTGTGTAAAGATTATTTAAACATTTTCCTTTAGTGTTGCTGAACTGGTGTAACAGCACGCATGACTGAAGAAACATGAGGATGAGGAAAACATGAACTTCCTTGAGCTCTGGGGGAAAATCATGTCACCATTGTTCGAGATCATTTGCATTTGATTGAAATTGCATGACTGGTTTTCTAACAAAGAAATACAGTTGAATTAAACACAAGGTTTTTCTGTCACTCTTTGGTTTCTGTTTCTGTTATTGTGTGATGTCTGGAATGCAGTGAAGTCACCTTTCAGAAAAAAATCACTACTATAGACACGGCCTTTTCGTTTGGATGCCTTTTCACAATCACAAACGTCTTAACATACAGGTGCAACAGGTAACTCCTGTGTTAAGTACCATTTGATGCATTTTAAGATTTTAAAGATGCATGAAATAAAAGTGTTGCTTGACACTTTCTACTAAAAGGCCAGACAGATTGCAGAAAAGATCATGACAAATTAAATATTTCTAGTACTGACCCTCTAAGGATATGTTTCAGATCAGAGTTTGGAGTACAGCCTGACCGAGGACTACTGTAAGAACCATTTCCTGGTGGGTCTGCTTCTGCGAGAGGTGGCCGATGGACTCCAGGCATGCCCAGAGATCAGACAGCTGGCTGTGGCCACCCTCAAGAACCTCATGATCAAACACGCCATAGATGACAGATACAATGCTTTTAAGGTAAGTTATACAAGCGTACAAACTTGTTTGATTTTGCAAGTTTAACCCACTTCCTCTTTGCCATGTCCCTGCTGCTGCTGAATTAAGAGTGTCATTCTTTGACCCTAGAAGGAGGACTGCTGTTTTGCATGTGCAACTTTACATAACTGTTCAATAACGTTAATGTTTGCTGCAGTCCGAGTGCGATTGTTCGCCTGCAGTCTTGGTCTAGTTTCAGACTCACCGGCAGTCTTTTGTTTTGCACTATTGGATTAATTAGTTGTTTACTAAAGGCCCATTCACGCCAAGAACAATAACGATATAGTTCTAAAAAATCATCATAAATATAACAGAATAGCTTTAAAAAAATATATATATATTTATTTATTTATTTTATTTTTTTGGGACCTGTAATAGTGTTATGTCACTGAATACTGTGCCTCAATGTACCTTGTTCTGATAAAAATAATAATAATTAAAAATATATATATAAAAGAATAGCAGACCACAACGTGAATGGCGCAGATAAACAATGTCATAGGAATATATTTTTTTTCCAATTGATGAACGATGAAAACGTTGGTTTAAAAACACATGGTTTTATACTGCCAAGGGCGTAGTGAGCTCATACCAAGGGCGTAGTGAGCTGGAATGTGTTTACGTTAGCTCTCACCACTTTCGTCACGAGCCACTGCAAACATCCAATAGGAAAATTCAACTGCAGTAAACACCGTTCAACCTGAAGAGGGCAGCACTCAGACGTTTTTACACCATATATTGTAGAATTAAAACACTTTATACACAAATGTCTAAAAAGTTACTTGAATCAATGATCAGCACTAATAAAGCCCCATCCTTACAAATCATTGCCTAAAAAAAATTGGTTTAGGATTTAGTTACGCCTTAAAGGTCCTATATGTAACTTTTTTATAAAATGAATCCTTTTTTTTATTGTAATCACACATTGCAATGATCCACTTTTCGGGTTTTGTTATTACCTCTGAAGGCCAAAATTCATATTTATATGTGAGGTCTCCGGGTCGGATTTCCTGCGAAATCCATCAGATGTGACGTGCATGCGCGCTCCCGAGCCTCTCTATCCTTACACAGTCTATGCGACAAACGGCACTTCAGCTGACAACATGGAGTCTGATAACCCACCAAAACGTCCTGAATCCATTAAAACACAGACTCCAACACAAACTCCACATAAATATATATATAAAAAAAAGTTTTATCTGCTGAAGCTCGTCAGACGAAAACGCGGATCAGATCGGCAACATATTAGTGCAACATATTAGTAAACTCTAGTGAAATAGCAAGGTAAACTACATGAAATGAATACAAAAGAATGTTCCAGGATAACAAAAAGTCGGTGCTTTAGGATGTAACTTATTTTATTTACTAGATCTACTGACTAACGTCGTCATCCCACTACCATATTGTTTATACACATTTCCAGACACGTTCAGTACAGTATTGTCACTTCCTACGATCTTACTGAAACACTGAAACTGTTCAGTTTAGTTCACTAACCGTTTTCGTTATCATACATTCACCTATGTTGGCATTGCTGATTGTGAAAGATACACAAATAGTTAGAGAAATGGCTTATGCCATTTAACATCACATGTCGGCTAAATGCAGTTTATTGTAACATTATCATGGACGAGAGCATTAGTTCAACGTCAAGCTGATAAAAGTAGGCTATTATTGTACCTGCAGTGGGAGTTTCCAGCATGTTGTGAGATGATGCTTTCTCCGTTGCGTTGACGGTAATCGAGCACGCACAAGCACACGAGCACGAGCACTCTTGTTGCATTCTGAAACATCACCACTAGAGGCCGCTAAAAACCGCATACAGCACCTTTAAGCATTCCTGTACAGTATGTCACTTACAGGAAATCATGCACAGGAAGGCTTTTGAGATGACCACAATGAATAAGCAGGTTGATGTTATTGAAATGTGTGGCATTTGCATTTTATCTTTTATCAAGATGTGGCCTAGATTAATGCAAAGAAATCCTCGAGTTATGTCCACGCCATTGTCACGATAGCAGTAACTGCAGCACATTGTGCGTTCACCTCAGCCAGACATCTGTCTGTTATGCAAATGCAAGACTTTGTGCATCCAGATTAAAGTTCCAGATCGTTGCCACTGACACATCTCTCGATCGCGTTTGTTGAGAAGTCACCATGGTCTGTTTAGTCTCAACAAGATTTCTCAACATTTTCTTTTTTACATTGTGATACTACTGGTGCCAGAACATCTGTAAACGTGATCATAGCGCAGTTTCAAGAACACAGTGAACTTCAGAAGCTTGTATGGTGTGGCTTTTTTGCTGATTTTTTTTTTATTTGAAAACATGCCTAGACTTACTCACAAGAATGACTTTCACTCTCACATATGGGACGGATCATTCCAGGAATATTTTCGAGGAGTTTAATGTTGGTCTTTAGTACAATTTTGTTAGTTACATTTCATATAATAATTTTGTTATTATTATTAATATTATTATTCCTATCTACTGAGCAATAACAGTATCAACGGCAGCAATAACAGCAGCAGCGAAAACAGCAATAACCAACAGCAGCAGCAGAGTGGCATATCTATAGGGTGACCACCATCAAACAAACCAAATGTGGGACAATTATAAGTTTGTGTGGGACAATGTGGGACATGTTACCAACACTAAAACATACCCTGAAACTGTTATATAATGTCTTATAAAACTTATAAAAACATTATATGTTATAAAACTTGATAAAAACATTTATATTCTGCCTTTCAGCTGATAAAAATTATTTGTTCTTTAGTCCCTTCCAGAAAAAATCCTTTTTTTCTTTACTTTTTTTTTTTTCAAAAAAAAAAAAAAAGTCTTTTAAATTCAGCATCTCTGAGCCCAAAGGCAGCAGGAATCATGTATATAAATATTTTAGAAACAGTTCTGACCAAGTCCAGCAAAAATCCAACAAATAAAATATAAAACAACATGAAATTAGATAGACACTAAAGTCTTATATATTAAGAATATATTAAAAACCAAAACCAAAAACGTTCATATTTTTAGAAAGGATGTGAATTAAAACAACCACTGCAGGTTAAACAACAACAACAGATAAATTCCGTTAAATTAAAATTTTAATTTACCTAATTGGTCCACATTTTGATTGACAGCCGTCACAACTAACGAGTGACCGTGTTTACTCCTTTCTTTTCAGCCATTGGATAGTGTATAGCTAAAACACAGCTGTTGTATTTGTACTTATGACGAAGCGCTGAAAACTACGCAGCAAAAGTAATAAGTGGAATGCTTTCTTAGAAAAGGCAAAAGAACGCATGCACGTTTTCTTAATATGATATTAAAAACTAATAGACTGATGAAAATGTGGGACATTTCCTCAATGTGCGACGTGCGGGACAAGAGGTGAAAATGCTGTGCAGTATATATTCCACATACATATCTATTCCACCAAAACCAAATACATGATCATTGTCTTATTCATTACCATGCTGAACTATTTCAGGAATTGTCAGGTTTGAACTCATTTTTCGATTATTGTGTAATATGTAGCCATGTAATTGTCAAAATAGATTGTTCCTGCGTTATTCAAATCATGGAAGCTTTTGGAAAGTTCATGTTCTTTTGAAAGCTGCAGGGCAAACACACTTGCCAGCATTATTGACAAGTGACTTACAATACCTTCCATTGTTTCTGCCACTGTGTGATATAATCATTCATTTACCATTGACCTCACGACAGAACCAACAGGCCCGCATCTGTCTGCTGTACCTGCCATTGTTTGAGCTGCTCTACCAGAACATGAGCCAGATGAACAGCCCAAGGCAACTCAGAAGAAATAGCCTCGGCCTCACGGTAAACGCTTATCTGAGATCAACAATGACTCAGTCCTCATCTGTTCTCTGTCATCAATATGAAATATTTATGGTAAAAAAATTCAAACTGCTCACAGATGTCAGTCCAAAAAGATAAGAAACATCAGCGGTATTTGAAATTAGGGCTGTCAAACGATTAATTCAATTCAATTCAACTTTATTCGCCAAGTATAAAAAAATACAAAGAATTTGATTTGGTTTTCTCCAAATAATAATTTTCTCAAAAATTAATCGCATCCAAAATAAAAGTTTGTGCTTACATAATATATGATATATGTGGGTGCTCTGTGTATAATTATTTTTATATATATATAAATACACACAAGCATGTATATTTAAGAAAAAAATATTATTTATATATAAAATATTTATATAATATATAAATTATATATAAATCTATATACAGTATATACATAAAAATATTTCTTAAATATATACAAGCATGTGTAAGTATTTATATATATATATATAATAATTATACACATTACACCCACATATATTATATAAACACAAACTTTTATCGTTTGACAGCCCTAAAAAAATATTAACAAGCTTTAGTTGATATTTCTTAGTAATCTTAACAGAAACATAAAGAAGTTGGAATATAAAGAGTGGAAATCAACTTTGCATATTGTTATTTTTAGCTTTACAGAGTTAGAAGTTTAATCTGATCCAATCAAATACAATATACAGTATATGCTGTTTTCGAGTTTAGCTGTTTTTCTTGTCGGCAGTGTGTGTCGATTGTGGGTCTGTTTGACTATTTACCGATTGGGTTTACTTTTGCGCTGTTGTATACAGTAACTCAAGACATGCGAGTGCTACATTTAAATTCCACGGCCTAGTGTAAATGTTAACCTTGCAAGGTTTTGATCCGGAGTTGGATAAGCACTTCCTGTTTTCCCATGCTCCTTTAGTACCGGGATGATTTGTCAGTGGACAGCCGCAGAAGCAGCTCTATCGTTGATAAGGAACCTAGTGAGTATCAAAGTCTATTGGCAACAGAAGTTACAAGTAAACAGACAAACACACAGTGTGCATTTGTGTGTTTCACAGCCGGTGTCGTCGCCCAGAATGGACACAGTAGGAAAGGGGAGTCCAGAGGCTCAATGTATGGAGATCCTGGCACTCCAGACATCAATGAGGTGAAACAGAAGCAGATTTCACTACAGATGTCCAGTGTTGGGGAATGTTACTTTTAAAAGTCAAACTCACAAATTAGGTTAGATTTGTTACTTTTTATGGAAACACAGTAGGTCCAAGTTTCATTACTTTTTACATATACACTACTGTTCAAACGTTAGAGAAAGAAAGTTTTACTGCATGAAATTGACAGTACAGATATTTATTATATTACAAAATATTTCTATTTTCTTTTGAACTTTCTATCCATTAAGGAATTCTGGTAAAAGAAATTATATTACATAATCCGCAAAAAATATTATCCTTCAAATGGTCTTCGTTTCCTGTTTACACTACACACTATAACCCCAACAATTGATTTAGTAATTGTACAAAAAATACACATTTTTAATCATACAAATAATATATCTTTTTTTTGTTTACTTCTCATCTATTCATTAATGCTGTGTTTTTGGAGATATAAAGTACTTTTGTATCCATATACCACCCAATTCCTCAACTACACCATTAGCTTGCATATGAAATATTATTTTATGATACATTGCATTTATGCTCTAGTACTAGGCCTTCATTTCTGTGTAAAAATTTTCAGATTTATGCCGCATTTTTTTTTGACACATGAAGAAAATATATTTAGTTGGGTTTTTTTAACATTTCCCCTTCATTTCAATGTGACCCCGAACACCAGAAGTGTAAACATTTTTTTACATATCTTCAGAACAAACCGAATCAAGCCCAGTTTTTTTTTGTGTGTGTGCATAGATAGATAATCTATGAAAAGTCACAAAATCTTATTCCACTGAGATGAAGGGAACCTTTTTTTGTTTTATTAAGTAAAAGTCAATAGGGGTCGTATAGACCACATGACCCGATTGAGGGCTACGTCAATTTCAAAATCGATAATAATAAGAAATGTTTCTTGAACAGCAAATCAGCATATTAGTATAATTTCTGAAGGATCATGTGACACTCAAGACTGGAGTTGCTGAAAATTCAGATTTGCATCAATTGCATCATTTTAAAATATATTCAAATGAAAAACAATTACAGTAATATTTGACAATATATATGTTTTACTGTATTTTAATCAAATAAATCCTTGGTGAGCATAAGAAAATGATTTAAAAAGCATTAAAAAAAATCATATCGACTCCAAACTTCTGAACGGTAGTTTATACTGCATGATATATATAATTTACTTACACAACAACATACTGTATATCATATTGTATTTCTCATGTACCATCAACAGAAATTGACATCAAGCATGGTCATGACAACAGCTCATTTTATGCAAACTTTGAGACAACGATGTTCAAATTCTATTTTTACTGATGACGGGACTCACAGCAAATAATACTTTTTTGAACATAAATCTCACATATCTCTTAAATATACCCAGTTTTCCCACTGTGTGGATAGGACTGCATTAATAAAATACTAATTTGGTTATTATAGTATAAATTTACTCATTACATGAAAACAATATGCATAACATGAACCCCAGCTCTACAGGTTACCTAATTTCCCATATCATACATCATTTGTAATTGTTCCCCCTTCTGCTCAGTTGAACAGGCGCGGCTCCACTATGAGCACCGTACCCGCCGCTGGACGTTTGGGACAGTATGAGATCAGAGGCCTGCTTCTGTGTTACCTGAACATTGTAAGATCCTTGTCGGATGGTAAGCACACTTTTGTTATCATATCATCCAGCCTTTTTGTTATCATCATATCATCCAGCCTTTTTGTTATCATCATAAAACACCACCATTATAGTCAAGATTATAGCCTCAAAACAGCTCAATCATGCATTTTAGTCTGGAACTTGACTTAAAGGGATACTTCAGGATTTAGCATTAAGCTTTGTATTAGTAGAAAACCTGTAGTATTTTCGAATTACCATGCTTTCCACCCTCATATCCCCCTGAGACCAGAGATTTATGTTTTTTTTTTTTTTTGTCTTTTTTTTTGTCTGGAAAAATCCACAGATGACGCAAAAATCATCAGTCGGTAGTAGGGTCTGTCCCGCATGTTCTCACCCCGCCCATAGAGGGCGATCTCACTCACAGAATGACCACATAGTGTCAGACATCTTTGTTTGGAAGCTAAGCTAGCAGGAGAAAGCTGAGTAGTAGGGGTTACCATCCTCTTTTTCCCGGACATGTCCGACCGTCGGTGTCCGGGATTCAGCTTTTGCTTACTACAGTCGCCATTCATTGTTTACATGCACAGCTTTTGTTTCAATCTAACTAAATTCATTCTGATTGGTGAATCTGAATGTAGTGTTTACATGATCGCTAAACAAGTGATCGGTTGATGTGCGTTTCAACATTGCTAAGAAAATTCCCGCTCCTCCGTGAGAGATACGAGACCGGTGCGTCTCACAGGTGTCGCTCATCGGTAATCACGCCACCGGTCTCGCGCCGTTCTCCCGCGGCCTTCATTCGTCCCGCTCGCCACAGTAAACATAATGAATGGCGACTGTAGAACGCAAAAGCCGAATCCTGGACATTTTGGGCGATCTCGAAACACATTTTCGGGTATTTCGGACATTTTCTAGAACTTGTTGTTTAACTACTGAGCTCTGTTACCGGTAGGCGTGGCCTCCTAGGGCAGCGAAGCAAGTGCATTCTGGGAGTTGTTGTCTTTCATCCACATAAGCCAAAAAATACATTTTCTGGCTTTTCTCAGTCTAGAAAGCTCCAAATTCAAAAATAATTTCACATTTCTTCTACATAAATGACACATTTTAAATGCACATTCATCTTTCCAGAGGTGAAGTATCCCTTTAAGCCTTGTTTAAAAAATCTAAAAGCATCATACAAGTTAATTTCACTGGACTTCAACGGGGCAGACTACATTGGGTTGTGCCCGAATGTATCACTTGAGCTGTGGGCGGCAGCTGTTGTTGATCTTTAAAGAGCAGGTGTTTAAATTATATGGCAATCGGTTGAATGTCCGTTGGAGCTTCGTGGGTGCAAATAACTTTAATCCGGGTTTTATCAGTCCTGCTCTTGGGTTCTTCCGGTGATACACAGTTCGGATGACTCAGACGCCAGCTTTTTGGTTTGTTTGTAGAGTAATGCTTGATCTAGTTTGCAAGTGTCCGATAAGGGAGGCACCTAAAATATGAAGCTGGAGGAGGATTGAGAAACTGATTTAAACAAGTTGGTGCTTGGTCTTAGATCCAGGATTACCATTTTCCGTAATCACTATGAAAAATCTTATCTTGGAGTCATGAAAGAGTGGAAAGGTCATGGAAACATCATTACTCTAAGAGCATGGGAACCTTGTCTGGGTGTCCTGAAACTCTTGATAATGTCTCTGTAATAGGAAGAAGGCATGTGATGGTGTCAAATTTTCAATTGCTGAAGCTTTCATTGTGGTATACGGTATTATCACAATACTGAAATAAGTTAAAAAAGTGGCTTTACAGTCCAGTTACCCATGTAAATACTATGTACTTATTTTAGTAACTACAATTACTGGGTAATAACTAGTACTAACCCTGAACCTACCCCTGTTCCATGTACTTACCTTATATTAGCCAGTACTTTCTAGGTTAATACACTGTAAGTACTGTACTGTAAAAGGAAGCAGGTTTTATTAACTTTTTTTTTCTTATAACAAGTTTTAAACAGATTGAAGTGCGAAAAAATTATAAAGAACAATAGTTCTCATTAGTGCACTAACTGACATTAACAATGAGATATAGCTACATTTTTTACTGAAGTTACAATTCTTTGTTAACATTATTTACAAAAATACAACTGTTAGTTCATGTTAGCTCAGTTCCATTAAATTAAATGTTAAAATTAACTATGATTTAGAAGTATTTTTATTGTCATTTTATGTTAGCTAATGAATTAACTGATGTTAATGAATAGAGCCTTAATGTAAAGTGTAACAATATCTAGCACATGTTGTAGTCACTGATCTATACAAAGAACTTTTACTGATAATTTACTCACCCCCATGTCATCCAAGATGTCCATGTCTTTCTTTCTTCAGTCGAAAAAAAATTAAGGTTTTTGATGAAAACGTTCCAGAATTTTTCTCCATATAAGGCACTTTACTGGTAACCAAAATCTAAACTAACGAATCTTTTCCCGAGTCATTTGGTTCATTCAACAACGAAATGAACGAATTGACTCGGAAAATTTGTTCATTTTGATGAACGAGTTTGAACAGGAGAGTCACGAACAGGCATCACAGAACAGAGCAAGGCGACTGTAACAAAGTTCAGGGAAGAAGGAGGTAGGAACCGGATAATAATAATAAAATAAAACTTTATTTAAATAAAATAAACAAACAAATTACCTGCCAGCAGCCCCTCGCGGACGACTGCTGGCTACCAAAAATAAAACATAAATACCGGCCAGCAGCCCCTCACGGACGACTGCTGGCTTACCAAATAAAATATAAAATACAAATAAAAGCAGGCCTGTTCCTCTCTCGATCATCCACTCCGTCGCTCCCCCTTTATGGCTCCGCTCCTTCGTGAGAGATGCGAGACCGGTGTGCTTCACAGGTGCTGCAGGGCTCCAGACTAACTTTTTTTACTAGGAGCGCTGTTGCCCCTGACTGAAAATTTTAAGAGCGCAAGCAAAAAATTTAGGGGCACACCTTAAATAAGCTTGCAATGCAATTATTCAAATTTCCCACAAAATAACTGTAATACTGACAAATTCTTTAACAATAAATAGACTTAACATTATGATATGCTGTTTTATTTTAACTTCACAGGGCTCCAGACCCAAAGTTGAGGGCAGCATCACCTCAAATGAGAACTCACAGTTCTATAAAAAAAAAAAAAAAATCTGGTAGCACTGGGGCTAACAATAAATCACTAAGCTTAATTTAGAGTGTAGATGAAATTAACTTTAGTTTTTATCATTTATAATGTCTTAATATTAATTAATAAAAGTAGTGAAAATATGTATATGGAGTGAAAATAGCCACTAAACATCCTACTGTTTACAATGGTATTATTATTATTATTATTTTAAGTGTTTAAATAAGAGTTTTCCAACATCTTAAAATTGTTCGTTTAAGGACAATCTTTAAAGGATGAACAAAAAATGTGTTGGTATGGTAATCACATAAAAAATACAAAAAAATAAAACATTTATATGATATTATTGAAGTGCTGGGAAAGGATGTGTAGTAGGCTACTTACACATTATCATATTTATGGTAAGAGTTAACTTGCCTAAATTCATGGTTCTGTTAGGCTGATTTGTGGACTGAAAGCCTTCTATAAGTGTTTTTCCTGGTTTCCACGTCAGCGCTGTTTGATCTGATATGGTTTATAACAGAACTCTGCGCCGAATCGGAGTGTTTCTCACTGGATCTCGTGGTGTTAATGTTATTAATTCTGAGGCGAATTCAATGGATTTCTTCACTGGCTCTCCTAGTAACAGTGTTGCGTGAGCGAGATCGGCCCGCGACTGGCAAGTTCGGGGCTTTATTTTGTCAATGGTTCGGATCGCTGCTGCAGCTCCACGGTCCTAATCATACATGAGTGGCGTATTTTCGTTCCACTTTCATTTTGTTTGCATTCGTTGCTAGGTAACGACTAAAGAGTCAATAGATCGCTGATTGCTCAGACGCACATCAGTTTGTGATATTTGTCTCCGTCTCCTTCCCACAAACGTTTACGCGCGCTATTCTTGTCACAGATTCATTGACGCGCCTCTTCCACGCTTTACCATGCGTTTAACTTGTGGCAAATTTACTGGTCGCACATGTGCGACTGGATGTAAAATTCAGTCGCACACTCTCAATTTTTGGTCGCAAAATGCGACCATTTGGTCGCAGTCTGGAGCCCTGGCTGCTCATTAGCAATCGCACCACCGGCCTCGCGACTTTCTCTCACGTCCCTCGGCCGTCCTGCTCACCACAGCGACCATTTGAGCTTATAAAACTTAATCTTTGTTATTTATTTTTTAAATGTACACGTTTCGCTTGATAAGACCCTTATTCGTCGTCTGGAATCGTTTAAAGCCCTTTGAACAGTTCGCAGTTTGCACTGAAACTCTCATTTGGACCTTGAACCGTTTGGTTCCCATTGAAGTCCATTATATGGAGAAAAATGCGTGATTGTTTTCATCAAAAACCTTAATTTCTTCTTAGACGACATGGTGGTGAGTAAATTATCAGCCAATGTTTTTTTAAAAGTGAACTACTCCTTAATAGGAAGAAGAGTTGAGATAAATGTGTATTGCGTTGATGTTAATGTTAATGTTTCTGTCTTACTCAATGTCTTCCTTTAGAAACTCTGACGGCCTACTGGATGAAAGTCAATCCACAAGACATCATGAACTTCCTCAGTCTGCTCGAGTGAGTGACACAACCTTTCCCACAAGGCGTTGTTCTTGTTGATCTTGTTATTCATGTGTTTCTCAAGATGGTAAATCATTTATTTGAGCAAAAACACAGTAAAATTGTGACATATTATTACAATTTAAAATTACGATTTTCATATATTTTAAAATAAATGTAATTTATTCTTGTGATCAAAGCTGTATTTTCAGCATCATTACTTCAGTCTTAAGTATCCTTCAGAAATCATGTGTGCTGCTTAGGGATGCACCGATATGAACATTTTGGCCGATACCGATAACCGATAATGCTTTATATTTGAAAGCCGATAACCGATATATCGGCCGATAAATCTAAATCCAATTTTTATATAATTTTTGAAAGCCTTCTTGTAAAAACAAGTCTAACAATTAAAAATTCATCCCCTAACACAATTACAATGTTCTCATTATAATTTCATGTAGCCGATATGACAGCACATTTTGCACTAAACTACATTTTCCTTTTTGATTCCAATCATATTTCAAGCAATTAAGATCAATCAGTGTGCATCTTAAGTGTCTCAGGTGTCATGTGTTGAAGGAAATAATTCATTATTTATCAGCTTTAATATATCAGCCAAGTTTTATTATCGGGCCGATAACGATAACATAAAAATGAGGAAATATCGGCCGATATCGATATGGTGGCCGATATATCGTGCACCCCTAGTGCTGCTTAATATTTCATTGCTAAATACCTTTAAGTATTCTGGTTTTCCACCATGTTTCTCAATGACACGCCCCCAACTCATAAAGATCGGGGCTCAAAGAAAATCCCCCGCTTTCTACTTGTATTTACAACTATGTGACGCCATTCATGTGCATTCAACGTGTTAACTGAAGTTATACTGTAAGAGAGTTTACACCAATTCCCACTTTAGGTTGTGACATCAGCTGTGTTTCCATCCACAGTTGAGAACTTGTGCGCAAAATGGGAAAATCGCATAAAAATCGTTTCCATCGAGTGAGCCGAAGAGAACAAAACTGTCACTTTCCACATGCTAAATATCACTGGGAAAAATAGAAGTTGCTGCACTAGGAGAAGCCATTGTATATCAAATTGTTGTGTATTATAAATGACTTTATAAATGTATTATAAATGACTCAATTGAGTGCATATGTTTTTTCTATGCATGTATTTGGAATTTATTTTCATCCAGCGTTTTTTTTTTTTATATATGCGACATACCAAAATGCTCATAAAAACAGGTGGATTGAGAATTGCTTTGTGAATTGAGCCCTGACAGCAGCTTCATATTTGCAGAATGTTCTTGTTCTGGGTTTGTGGCCTTAAAAATTGCCTGAAAGTATCATCATGTAAAATCATGACCTAATCATGACCTAAATAATATTTCCTTGTCTCTGTGTTTATCTGGCTTAGACTAATTGTCTGTCTTCTCTGATTGTAGGATCTGCATAGTCCAGTTCCGTTATGTTGGCAAGAGAAGCATCAGCCGGTACGCTTGATCATGACTCAACATTTCCCATTCAAGAGTTAACCACATTCAGATCACCCAAATTTACATGAACCACAACTTTGACATTGTGCCAACCTGCTATCGTGCCATCAAAACCAGATCTATACGTTTCATTGTATGGGTCGTGTGTTTTCAAAATAAGCAGTGGTATCAAGATTAGCACTGTTGCCAACAGTACGTGTTTGCTTGTGTGTGTTGTTTAGGAGTCAGGAACCCTGGGTGTCGAAACTCTTCACGTCTGACAGGAAGTCCCAGACCATGCCGGTTCTGCGTGGTCGAGGAAGCTTCATGCAAGCAAAGCTGCAGCAGTTCAGCACTATGGACACCTCATTAACCCTGAACATGGGTAAACATCTGTCTACTGTTGTTTATAACCGTCATTCTGTGAAACAACTGTAAAAAAAAATATTTTCATGATTTGTTATCACAACTTTTTTTCTTTTAGATAATTTATGTAGTTCAGATAACATAATATTTTGAGTTTCTAGTGATTAAATCAATCTCGTTCATTGTATTAACTCAATTTTTGCATTTCAATGAACTTAAAATTTTAAGATTACTTATTTTTTTAAGTTAAACCAACAATATTTTTTTACAGTGCATGGGATTTTCATGCTTCTATAATGCTCTATTCTGCTATGTAACGTAACAAAATACAACATACTGTAATGCAATGGACTTGATAAAACTTGACAACTTTATCTAATTTAACGTAATATAATATTATGTTATATAATAGCTTAGTCTCTGCTGTCTTTGATTTTGATTAATATCATCCATTTTTAAAAAAGAAAGAAAAAACTTCCTTACTGCCTGATATACACTAAAGTTTGGGGTCAGTAATATTGTGTAATATTATTACAATTTAAAATTACATGATTCTTATATTCTGCTCAAAAAATAAAATCTTATTATCAATGTTGCAAACGTTTGGGCTGCTTAAAGTGCCCCATTGGGTCCTCGTTTAGTTTTAGAGGTCTCCTACAATAGGTTTACATGCTTACAAAAACACTTGAATTTTCTCATAATACACATTACACATCACCTCATTTCTCATGTTATTTCCATCACAATGTCCCTTTGGGGGATCCGTAGTTGATCACGTAATTCTTTTTTTTTTTTTTTAAAGGGATACTCCACTTTTTTGGGAAATAGGCTCATTTTACAACTCCATCAGGGTTAAACGTTTAAGTTTTACCCTTTTCGAATCCATTCAGCTGATTTTCTGATATTTAGAAGAATATCAGTAACCAGACAGTTTCTGGTCTCATTGACTTCCATAGTAGGAAAAAAAAATACTATGGAAGTCAATGAGACCAGAAACTGTCTGGTTACTGATATTCTTTTAAATATCAGAAAATCGGCTGAATGGATTCGAAAATGGTCAAACTCAACTGTTTAACTCTGGGGGAGTTGTAAAATGAGCCTATTTCTAAAAAAAAGTGGAGTATCCCTTTAAATCCAGTACAAGAACGTTTTATAAATCATGTACTGTAAGTGAAGCCAGTAGTTTTCATTTTGCATTTTACGATTAATGTGTAATTGTGGAGTCTTGTATTTCAGCTGGAGGTCCCACAGATGCAGAGACCAACCACCAGTCTTTGCTTGAGGGGAATATGTCGACAGAAGCCTGCCTTACCGTGCTGGACGTCCTCTCACTCTTCACTCAGAGCTTCAAGGTAATCACCAGTGGGTTTTTTAAGTTATAGATCTGTCTTCTAGAGTGTGTAATGAAGGTAAAGGGTCAGTTTGTACATAATTTGATTCTTCCATAACCTGATAATGTGATTTTTGGATCCTGACAGAATCAGCTGCTGGACAATGAAGGTCACAATCCTCTGATGACGAAGGTCTTTGACACGTACCTCACTTTACTGAAAGTCGGACAATCAGAAGCAGCAATCAAACACATATTTGCCTCTTTGCGAGCCTTTATCATCAAGGTGAGATCAATATATTTCTTTAGTTTACTCAGACAATGATCATTTACTCATGAGTCATGACGTTCCCAACCCAAGTGATGTTGTTTCAACACAGCCTTTTTTTAGCATGCAGGTTTGGTGCCTTTGAATAATCTTGAATGAAGTTTTAATTAAAGGAGTCGTTCACTTTTGAAAAAACTTTTGCTGATAATTTACTCACCCCCATGTCATCCAAGATGTCCATGTCTTTCTTTCTTCAGTCGAAATTAAGAAATTAAGGTTTTTGATGAAAATATTTCTGGGATTTTCTCCGTATTAATGGACTTCAATGGGAACCAAACGGTTCAAGGTCCAAAAGACACTTTCAGTACAAACTGCAAACTGTTCAAAGGGCTTTAAACGATTCCAGATGATGAATAAGGGTCTTATATAGCAAAATGATCGCTCATTTAAAAAACAAAAACAAAGTTTAAGTTTTATAAGCACAAATGCTCGCCTTGCTCTGTTCTGTGATGCACGTTCGTGACTCTCCTGTTCAAACTCGTTCATCAAAATGAACAAATCTTTTTCAGAGTCATTTGGTTCATTCAACGAATGAAGCGTACGAATTGACTCTGGAAAAGATTCGTTCATTTTGATGAACGAGTTTGAACAGGAGAGTCACGAACGTGCATCACAGAACAGAGCAAGGCGAGCATTTGTGCTTATAAAACTTAAACTTTGTTTTTTGTTTTTTAAATGAGTGATCATTTTGCTATATAAGACCCTTAATCATCGTCTGAATCATTTAAAGTGTCTTTTGGACCTTGAACCGTTTGGTTCCCATTGAAGTCCATTATGTGGAGAAAAATGCTGGAATGTTTTCATCAAAAACCTTAATTTCTTTTCGACTGAAGAAAGAATGACATGGACATTTTGGAGGACATGGAGGTGAGTAAATTATCAGCAAAGTTTTTTTTCAAAAGTGAACTACTCCTTCAATGACCACAATCTTTAAATGCAACAACATGAGATGTTTTCAAGATGTTCCAGATTGTGCCGACTTGAGCACTGACGTGTTTGTGTCTCGATTATATTTATTTAGTTCCAGGTTCCCCTCTTCAAGGGCCGTGTAACGCTGTGCGGTTCGCTGTGTTACGAAGTCTTGAAGTGCTGCATGTCTAAATTAAGTGTCCTACGTGGGGAGGCGTCTGCACTTCTTTACCTGCTCATGAGGAACAATTTTGATTACACCAAGAGGAAAAGCTTCCTGCGCATGCACTTACAGGTATATGATGACAGTTTCAGGCAAATCTCATGACAATTCACACCATTCTCATCTTTGTTCATTTTGGACGTTACAAATCCCGTCTTTACTGTATGTCAGCACATTTTCACTTGAATGTTTCCTTGTCTGTAAACGGTCAACTTTTACACAATACTTTTCGGTAAATGAGGATTTGGATGCGGGGGAGTTTTTTTAACTCTGTAAACTAATGCATAAAATATGGAGTGGTTTCTGCATGGTTGCATGTTTAAAGGGGTGAATCATGAGCTTGCACCACTGGGTCCTTGAGTAAGACACTTCAAAGTCCGATTGTTAGATCGTAACTTATTAACTGTTTTTGCTGCAAGAACTTTTCCAACATTTTAAGTGAAACAATTTTATTTTATTTTTAATGCATGTTATGGTCCATTTAACTGCTTCAAGGTGATAGTCTCGGCCATAAGTGCACTGTACTTTTGTATCCATATATGATACAGTACATATTAAAACGTATTTTATTTATATAAGTTATTATAATTTATATCTTATATACAGGGTTTGACATAAAAACATTTGCTCTCCAGTCACTGTGGCTAGCTAGTGTATTTCAAAAGTTACTGAACTAGCCACAATTTTGACATTGATGACTTGGGGAAAAACTGCCTAATAGATATTTGTAATGTTATCTCATAATTTGGCAGAATGTATATTAGGCTGCTCTCACTTTAAGACCTGCTCTTTCTTTCTCAACTGTTTACTTTGACTTAGAAGATTACTGACTGTTTACATGAACACTCGCCAAAACCGGCAATTTTATTTTGTGTGTTGACTGTTTAAGAGCAATAAGCAGCGACAAATAACTCAGTTTAGTACTGAGAGGCAGCTTTATGTGCAACACTTTGGGTGTGAGCACAAAATCTGCAGGAATTAGTCAAAATATGTGCAATACGCCCAATTCCACGCCAAAATTCAAGCCCTGTAACACCAACAATGTTCATCTAGAGCAAATGAGATGAGTGAGTGAGGAGAGGTGGGTTTAACTCGCTATCGGAGAGACTGGTATCGTGTATCTATTCTGTGGAAAATTAGTAGGGGTGTAACGATTCACTCGTTTTCTCGATGCATCGATTATAAATCCTGGCGATGCATATGCATCTGTAGCAGTTTTACTCTGGTTGTGTTTATTTTCTATTCAATGAAGACAACGCCGATTGAAGAGGTCTCAGGATCTTTATTCTGCAGAAATACAGAGCACAATTAATACTCTTTTTTCCCGTGAGATACACGTCTCTCCCTCTCAGTCTCATACAGCTCATACAGCACAGACAGCAGCACGCTCGTCAGATGAGCGAGAGAGAGCACACCCGACCCCGTCAGCGGAAAATGTGCTTCACTAGATGTTAATTTAATCAGCTAATAGTTACAAAACATAGGGCAAATAATAAAATTAAATAAAATCACAAAATACAGAACGCCACAAAGCATATAGGTCACCCTTAAATGACATACAAAATAATATAAAAGGGAAAACATAATGTCTTCACCACTTACTTGCAGTAGTAAACACATTAAATGGAGAAAAATGTTAAATTAGGGGTTAAATTACACAAAACACAGGTTAATTGCACAATCACATCACTTTTGCATACAGACCTCACTTTTTTTGTATGTATCAAACACATTTCGAACATTTCTCAATATAAAACACAATACAGTTTAACATACCTGCAGAAATACAGAGCACAATTAATACTCTTTTTTCCCGTGAGATACACGTCTCTCCCTCTCAGTCTCATACAGCTCATACAGCACAGACAGCTAGTAAGCAAAACCAGTCTCGGTAAAACACTCAAGCAATTAACTACATCCAATTTCATGACATCACATTTCACTTAAACATTGTTTATCTCATGAAATAAGTCGATTACATAGTTAAATATACTTCAAAATGTTCTTACCAGCACGCTCGTCAGATGAGCGAGAGAGAGCACACCCGACCCCGTCAGCGGAAAATGTGCTTCTAAATATGGCGCTGATCGCACATCGCACGAGCTATCGTTGCGTCACCAATATGTGCCCCATATACAACAGTATTCTGCATAATTGGTTCCCACTAGAACTATGTACATTTTATAGGATTACAACTCACACAAAATACGAAAACAAAAATAGTTAAGTTTTGATGAAGTTCACTAACAATCTTAATTATATTTCACAATTTTTTTTAAACCAGCTACATACTCCCCGCTGAACTTCACAAAACTAGTTCAATATGGATAAGTAGCTGTTCAAAAAGCTACACACAGAATCAACAATTGACTCAACACACTTGAAACAGCAACATGCTTCCCAAACCACAGGGAAAGGGACCCAAGCAGGCTGATCAGACCAACAAAGGGAACACTTGTAAATAGGGTGCCCCAAACACCACTACTTAAGCGTCTATGTGACAGTTACCTTCTTTTTCTAAATTGTGAATTACGGCTCTGCCAACTCAGTGGGAGATTTTGAATAGGCTCAAAGGAAACACTCCCATACTACTCATGTGACTGTTCAATCCATTTTATGACAATAAAGACCCTGCAACTCCATTAACTGAACTGGTCATAGTCATTTTTTGGGTCATGTTCTGGATTAATCTGTTCACAGGATTCACAAGCCTGCCAAACCTGGTTCTGACTTGAGTAACCACCTGATTAGGAGGCGAAGCCACAGGATCAGAGGACTGTATATCGTCAAATGAACCTCCCACTGGAGCTGATGTCACTGTATCATGTATCAATCCTCCATTACTTGAACGTTCAGAAACATTATCACATCCGAAAGAATCATCCATAGTTGTTGAAAGCACAGATTGAGCAGAATCAGGATCCACTGCTACTGGAGGGAAACTCTCTCTCTTAGAGGATGTCCTGCCCAAGTCAGCATTTGGAGCCACAGCCCCTGCTACCCAGCTGGCAGTTCGATCAGCGTTGCTGTATTCAGACATGGGTGTTAGAGCATTGCTCAAAGCTACTTCACTGCAATCATCAACTGATTCAGTGCCTCCACTGAATGAGGGTTCAATTTCCTCAAACTCGATAGGCAGAAAGTTTGCTTGGAGGAGCAAGTTTCTATGAACAGTCTTTTCCTGACCAGTGTGGGTGTTGCAGATTCGGTAGGTGTGACATTGAGGATTAAAGGCAACGACTGTATATGGAATGGACTCCCACTTATCTGCCAATTTCTTACGACCACGCTCACCCTTGTTGGCAAGCAATACTTGATCCCCAACTTCAATACTGCGACCTTTAGCCCTCTTGTTGTACAAGTCTGCCTGGCGTCGCTGACTGGCCTCAGCATTCTTCTGAGCAAGTATCAAAGCTTCTTTCAAGTCATTCCTCAATCTCTTCACGTACACATCATAGTCAATGACGACGTCATCCCTCTCCACACTGCTGAACATTACATCCACTGGGAGTCTTGGAATCCTGCCGAACATCAAATAAAAAGGTGCAAATCCAGTAGACTCATGGGCGGTGCAGTTATAAGCAAAGGTCAGCGATTGCAGCATCTGCGGCCAGTGTTGCTTGGCCCTAGGTGGCAGCGCCCTGATCATACCGCCCAGAGTTCTGTTGAATCGTTCAACATGACCGTTACCCATAGGATGATACGCGGTTGTTCTAGACTTCCTCACTCCAGCAACGAGTAGCAATTCATGAATAAGTTGGCTGCAGAAATTGGCACCTTGGTCCGAATGGATCCTCTCTGGGAAACCATATACACAGAAGTATCTGTCCCACAATAGCCGTGCAACTTGTTTCGCCGATTGGTCTTTACAAGGGAAAGCATGGGCCATCTTAGTAAAATGATCAGTTAGGACCAGGACATCCATGCTGCGACCACTGGAATTCTCCGCAGACCAAAAGTCTATGCAAACCAATTCCAGGGGGCTTGATGTTTTGATGCTTTCCAGAGGAGCTCTCCCTTCAGGTTCTGGAGTTTTGCTAACCACACAGCGTTTGCAACATTTAACATATTCACGCACATCCCGTTCCAAACTGACCCAAAAGAACCTCTGTCTCGCAAGGGATAAAGTCCTACCCTGACCTTGATGCCCAGCTTCATCATGAATGCCCTCAAGAACCTGCTTCACCAGCGAACTTGGAACAACATACTGTAGCCTCCTTTTTTTCGTCAGGACATCCTTGGACACTCTGTAGAGTATTCCATCAAGCATTTTGAACTTCTCCCACTGTTTAAGTGTCTTTATTACCTTGTGAGTTTCCCCAGTTCTCTCACGTCTAGATGGCTTCCGTCCTCTACTTACATAGAACAAGACCCTTGACAGCGTTGAATCATCCTGCTGCTTCTCCTGTAATTCCCTCAAAGAAAAAACAGGCAGAGGATTAAGACCTGGAGACCATAACTGGTGTGTATCCTGAGTGAGCCACTGGGCCGCTCGATCTCTTGTGCCTACTTCCCACTCTGTGTGAACATCAAGGATTGCTGACACCTCAACACTGGTAAGTGAACATGATTCAGAGAATGCAGAGGGACAATGTTCAACATTACAGGTGTTTGCGCTCAGCCTGAACACTTCTTGAATGGTGTTATCATGGACTTGCTCGGCCTCCTCAAGTAGCGCACTATACGGCTCTGACATCATCCTCTGACTGACACAATCACGGATGAAGGGTTGCCTACTCAAAGCATCTGCGACCACATTTCTACTGCCGGGTATGTATTGGATGCTGAAACTATAGGGGGCCAGCTTAGACACCCACCTCTGCTCACACGCATCAAGCTTTGGCTTTGTCATGATGTATGTTAAGGGATTGTTATCCGTCCAGACAGTAAAGTCATGTCCCTTCAACCAGTGACTGAACTTGTCGCAGACGGACCACTTCAGGGCCAAAAACTCAAGACGATGAGCAGGGTATTTAGCTTGTGCACGAGTGAGAGCTTTACTGGCAAAGGCAATAGGACGTGCCTTAAATTCCCCTTCTGGTACTTGTGACAGTACAGCTCCTAATCCATCCATAGACGCATCTGTACATAGAACGAATGGTCGGCTGAAGTCAGGGTGAGCTAGCACAACAGATTCTAACAGAGCTGTCTTTAGTTTTTGGAACGCCACACTCTGTTCATCTTTCCAATCACTGGGATTCAGTCTCCTAAATGATGCAGTGCCTCTCACAGTGGCCTTTTTTCCTCTGGGTGCAGCTGTCAAGGTGAACAATGGCTTCGCTATACTGGAGCAGTTTGGAATGAAGTTTTGATAATATAGCACCATTCCCAAAAATGACCTTATCTTTTTCTGCGAAGGTGTCACTCCATCTGGCATCATCAGGTCAGATTCAGATATGGCAGAAATGGCACTAACTTTGTCTGGATCCGTTGCCACTCCAGTGTTGTCAATGACATGCCCCAGAAATTTCACACTTCTCCTCAGAAAATGACACTTTTTCGGGGCTAACTTCAGTCCATGTGCCCTGAGCCTAGCGAACACCAGCTCAAGCCGCTCAATGGCTGCCTCCTCACTTGGAGCGTACACCAGAAGGTCGTCGAGATAGCATAACAACGTGAGGAAGTTCTGATCCCCGAAGATGTTGATCATGAGCCGCATAAAGCTGGCTGGACTGTTACAAAGCCCCTGCGGCAGACGGTTGAATTCATACAGACCCATAGGAGTCGTGAAGGCAGTGAACTTCTTGTCTTCTTCAGACATCATGACGTTATAAAAACCAGAGGTTAAGTCCATCGCACTAAAGAAGACATTCCCTCCTAGGGCTGCTAAACAGTCTGCCTGATGAGGCAAGGGGTGGGCGTCCTTAACAGTTCGAGCATTTAGCCAGCGGTAGTCCACACACACTCTAAGGTCCCCATTCTTCTTCCATACCAACACAAGTGGAGAGGCCCACTCACTATTGGACTTGCGTATGATTTCCTGTTCCTCCATTTCAGAGAGAACGCTTCTCAGCTTCTGGTACTGTGCCGGTGGAACACGGCGGTATGGAAGTCTGAATGGACGATCGTCTGACAAACGAATATGGTGGACAAACTCATTAGCTTTTCCGCAATCCAGTTTGTGTTTGGAAAATACGTCCTCATACCTCCCAATGAGCTGTATCAGCTGACCTTTCCAATAATGGGATACTTCACAAGACTCGATGTCTAAATCACCAAGACCAAGTTTCTGCAGACTTTTACTTGGCCCCAAGTCAGTACAACCTCCCTCATCAATTCCTCCGATGCTCTGGCTCTGCACACTCACCATCTCATTACTGTTGTGATTAGAATGCACACTGAGATCCTCAACAGCTATAACAGGGAAGACATCTGCAATTTTCGAGTTCCTTCTCAGTGTAATAGCCTTATCAAGGGGATTCATGATTCTGACTGGGACCCATCCATCTCCAGACATAGAGGCTATGACTCTTCCCACCATGATACCTTTCTTGTGGGTCTGTGATTTGGGTGGCTCAATCACAATAGTACTTCCCATGGAAATAGGTGTGTTTGGAGGAAGTTTTCCCCACACGAGGTGTTCTTGTCGGGGCAACAAAGTTACGGCCTGAGTCAATTTTGCTGTGCCCACAATATCAGGAATTACACGACCCTTCCACCTGTTAATACCTGACAGCATGTTCAGAAACTGCTCGACTTCAGGTTCACCAGATGACTCAGGGCGATTCATGACATTCCAATAGCTAGGAGTTTGCTTGAGTTGAGTGAGGATGAATTTAATGACATTAGTACCCAGAATCAACTGATCCCTCTGTCCCGGGACAACAAACGTGGGTACACTCACCAATGTGCCACACACATTCATCTGCAACTGATAGACCCCCTTCGGTCTGACTCGAACACCTCCACAGCCAACAAGAAGAACGTCCATGTGCGACTGGTCAACCTGTGCAGACATCCCCATACTCAACAGTTCATGCTCTGTGTCCTCATTGATTGTGCATGCCATAGATCCACTATCCATCAGCGCTTGAACTGGAACTTTGTCATTCAACATTACTGAAGTATAGAACAGACTGTCTGCCTTCTCCAACTTCGTGACATTCTGAAATAAGACGATACCATCACCAGAGACAGACTTGCAACATTCATCATAAACAGAAAAATCATCGTCCACATTGAGGGTTTGATGCTTTGCACTCACATAATCCCCTCCCATACGTGAGTGAATTAGTTTCCCTGAGCGTGCGGGTCAGAAGCAGATGGACTAGCAGAGCTGACAACGTTGATGCATTGCTTCTGCTGATGCCCAATCTCCATGCATGACAAACATCTCCTTTCTCTCATACAATGTGAACGGGTGGAGTGATTCCTATCACCGCAGACTCTGCACGG